GGGGGGGGGGGGGGGGGGGGGGGGGGTAAAAGGAATTGTCCCTTTAACACGTGAAATGTGATTCCTGATAAGCTTGGGAGCCTGAGTGGATCAAAAAGGAAATGAAGCGTTTTAGCCTTTCTTTCTTTCTTTCTTTCTTTCTTTCTTTCTTTCTTTCTTTCTTTCTTTCTTTCTTTCTTTCTTTCTTTCTTCCTTCCTTCCTTCCTTCCTTCCTTCCTTCCTTCCTTCCTTCCTTCCTTTCTTTTTCTTTCTTTCTTTCTTTCTTTCTTCCTTCCTTCCTTCCTTCCTTCCTTCCTTCCTTCCTTCCTTCCTTCCTTCCTTCCTTCCTTCCTTTTCTTTCGCTCTCTTTCTCTCTCATGAATGTATAGGACATTCCCTGCACTAGATGCTCGTGTTAGTATTTTATTTTTAATGAGACTTGTGGTTCCAAACACCAGCTTCTGAGAACTTGTTTCTTGAGGTCTTGCACAGGGTGGTTGGAAGGACCATGTTCCAGAAACACTTTTATTAATTCTCTGCTGCTCTCCTGCTGTAGCAGTGCAAGAGAAGAACAGAGTTGGAGGAGAGGATTGCTGTTATTGGTTCTGTCTATTGAACCAACACATTTTTCTGCAATAAATAAACGTGGTCATAATCACCACTAAGGTGTGGTGATATTGGTTAAGGAAAGGCAAATAATTTAACAGCAAATTTACTGAATTTCTGGACTTCTCTTATCCTGGATAATTTAAATGATGGATGGATATGTTGTCCTGTCTGTGGAGGGCTTTAAGGAAGTCAGCATTTGACTTTTTAAGTCTTGGCAAATATTTGGAATGAAAAGTAAAATAACTACAGCATTTTTCCTCTCCATCGCAGTAAAAGCTGCTAAATGAAACATTGCCCTAGATAAGAATTATTTTGTGGGGAAACCTCAGCCATAGACCCAATTATTCCTTGAGATGGGAGACTTCCAGGGAAAGCACGAGGAAAGTGTAAAAACATCTTGGCAACAGTAATAACAAAACTATTTATATGATGGAGCCCTGGGTGCTTTCTGAGCTTGGCTGTTTGCTTGCAGAAGTTTCATTAGATTAGGTATTAGTGCTAGTGTGGGGCTTGCTCCCTGTTTATATACAGTAGCTTGCCCTGCCAGTGTTGATGAGTATGGTGTATTGTTGCCAGAAAAACAGTATGTCTATATCCATGAAGTCAGTAATCAAGCTCAACAGGAAGAATAACAGAGTAACACTTGGAGGTCTTCTAGTCCAGGGGTCTCCAACCGTGGCAACTTTAAGCCTGGAGGACTTCAACTCCCAGAATTCTAGTCCAACCTGATGCTCAAGCAAGAGACCACACCACCACCACCACCACCACCGTTAATATTTCAGAATGGTCTAATACCAGGAACGGTTCAGAAGCAACATGTGAAATGACATCATGCACCAATTGATGAACCGTTACATCCAAAGATGTAAAATTCTTTGTATAACTACAGAATGAGTACTTCCAGATTCGGATATCTATGAAGTGATATGACTTGGTTCCAACTTGTCTCTTAATTTTAAATAAACATGATAGTAACAAAATAAAGATTTCTGTCTATTTAGAGGATAAGGTTTTTTTTTCTGGAACAAGAAACTTAAGAATTATTAAAAATAATTTCTTATATTTTATAAATCACCAAAGTCTTTTGATAAAAACAAAATAAGAACATATTTGGCTAATAAAAGGTAAAAAAAAGGGTTACTCTATAAAACTTTGATATTTAAAATAACATGAAGGTTGAACAACTGATTTTTGATTCTGTATCATCCATATAGAGCAGAACTAATCAACTTGTGCTTTTGGGTAAAAATGATGTCTGAAAAAGCATATCAGAGAAAACTGGTGTAAAGATGTGTTTCCTTTCTGTGACCAAAAAGATGCTTTAAACCTTTATTTTTCCCACTGCTTGAAGTTATACATTCTAGATTTTATTCTGCTGACCGTTACTGTTTAGTAAATTGTTTCAGATTCATGTTGCAATTAGCTTATTTAAATGCATAGTACCAGTAACAAATTAATCTATCTCACCCCATCCCATCTAAAGGGAAGCAAGGTTGGGCTGTTTTCTTTGAAGGGAATATTAAAGTACCTGATATTTATTTAAACATTGTTAAAAAGCATGTGTGAGAAATTAATAAACATATGAAAAAAAACTATTTGGCACAAAACCACAAAATTTCCAAAGTGACTTATTTAAGAGTATAATTTAATAGCCATTTAAATATATGCTATATTAAGATTTAACAGTTACAAAATATTTACACAAGATATAATTATAGATTGCCCTGGAAAGTTAACATCTTTAACATCATTGTACATAGTCCTTCTACAAGTACAAAATTCTGTTCTTTTTATAAGCACCAAAATATCTGTCCCATCCATTTCATGTTACAGACAGAAATATTTTCAAAACAAGGTTTTCACATAAATTAATGTTTTCAGTAATCATGAACAATGTGACCAAATATTTTTAAGACATAATTTTACAATGAAGAGTTCCTTTGATGTAACCAGCACATACAGCCTAAAAAAAAAAGTAAAGGAAAAAAAAACTTTATGTTATATATGGAGCGCCAGGCCACACAAACAGGAAACACAAAAGAGGTAGTGGATCATCTGTGAAGATGTTTGTATCCGAAAAGGACCATCATTCAACTAAAGTGTTTAAGGGATTTTATGGTGGCGTAACTCATTGTCAGTATAACAAGCTATTGCACATTTGGGAGCATAAAACCATACTGCTCCTTTTTACTGCATTCTTCCATCTTTCTTTAAGGTGTCCTGGACAGTGCTGTTAATAAAATCAAGAAGAATTTCCATATATGCATATTCTTTGGTTCAGAGAATATCATAAAAAGCACCAACCAAAAATTAAATATTTTAGTAATGTTGTCAAAGTTTCTGAAGCCATTTCTCCTTCATAGGAGGAAGTATTTTTCTTCCTGAGATTCTTTAAGAAATCACCAGCATGTTGCTGTACAATTGTTCCATATTTTCGTAATTATTTCTTGTGTCCTGTATATGGCGATATGAGGTTTACTCAAAATTCTAGAGAAAGCACACCAAGCCACTTTCTATGTATCGCTGTTGTCCCTGATTGAGATGAGAAAATGGATGAACCTGAACAACCGGTAGTTGATTGGTGTCTTGAGTGTGGAAAAAAAATTGGGTTTTGTGCCAGTTGCCATCTTGAATCTGCAATAAAGGAAATCTTAAAATCATACAAGATTTTAATTCTGTATAATCTTTACAGGGAAAATCAAGAAAGAAGACTTATCACCAAAGATATGCAAATGTTTGCATAATTATGCGCATAAACAACTATTTTGGAAAATGTGTTTTAACAAAATATCTATTTTAGATGTTTTGATCTGAACTGAAAATAAGTTTTCATTTAGTTACAAACTAAAATGTTATTCTAGGCAGAATTGGAGGGGGGGGGGGGGAAATTGGACAAAGCCATACGCAGAGGCCAAGGAGAGACAGGGAAGTGCATGGTATGGGAAAGCTAGAATATTTTGTTTAAGGACATCAGCAGCAATCATGGCTGAAGTAAAAGAGGGAAGTGAAGGCAGTGGGCAAAATAGGACTGGAGGGATATGGAGATGCTGAAGGCATACTTGCCTTTCCTGATTCACCACATAGGAATTGCTTGGTATATTGTTTCATGTGAAATCTAACATAACCAAAATCTTCTGGATTTTGATTCTGCTGACCTGAAATGGCTCAGCAGTACTTCACAAGCAGTATTAGGTGTCCTGCTTTCTTGCACCAGCTCAAGACAATAAAAGCGTCTGTTTAAGCACTTGAACAGCCAAAAATCTGGCTAAAATTCATTCAAACTTAGAAAAAGTATAGAGAAGAGCAACCAGGATGATTAGGGGACTGGAGACTAAAACATGCGAAGAACGGTTACAGGAACTGGGCATGGCTAATCTAGTGAAGAGAAGGACCAGGGGAGGCATAATAGCAGTCTTCCAATATTTGAGGGGCTGCCACAGAGAGGAAGGGGTCAAGCTATTTTCTAAAGCACCCGAAGGCCAGACAAGGAATAATGGATGGAAACTGAACAAGGAGAAATTTAACCGGGAAATAAGGAGAAACTTTCTGACAGAACAAAACCAATGGAACAACTTGCCCTCGGAAATTGTGGGAGTGCCATCACTTGTGACTTTCAAGAAGAGATTGGACTGCCATTTGTCAGAAATGGTGTAGGGTCTCCCGCTTGGGCAGGGGGTTAGACTAGATGACCTATAAGGTCCCTTCCAACCCTGATTATCTGTTATTTAAAAAGGCTGCATCATTTCTATTCAGATCATGTTGCTTTTATTAATCAGTTCATTATACCTTTTCCATTGAAAATGTGGGGAAACTACAAATGTCAAATATTTTTAATACGATATAGTGGGCAACATTTTTATGGTTGGAGTCACTGCTTAAAATTTGAGGGGGAAGGTAAGGGCCGTAGCATAGTGATACAATGAGAATGAGGACACACTACAGGCAGTCCTCGACTTACGACCACAATTGAGCTCAAAATTTATGTCGCTAAGTGAGACAAATGAGTTTTGCCCCATTTTAATATTTTTTCTTGCCATAGTGGTTAAGTGAATTACTGCAGGTATTAAGTTGGTAACATGGTTGTTAAATGGATCTGGTTTCCCCATTTACTTTGCTTGTCAGAAGATCGCAAAAGGAGATCAAGTGACACTGGGACACTGCAACAATCATAAATGTGAATTTTGATGACATGGCCATGAGGCTGCTGCAGCGGTCATAAGAATGAAAAACAGTCATAAGTCACTTTTTTCAGTGGAGTAGTAACTTTGAATGGTCACTAAATGAACTGCTGTAAGTTGAGGATTACTTGTACATGGATTACTTGTACATGGAGGGAATTAAAAATATGGGGAGAAGTTGTTGCAAAGTTTTAAAAGGATAACAGACTTCCCTTACTATTTAAGATAATCTTATTTAGCGTTTAAACATTACAGTTCAGTGTAATGTTTAAAGAACCAGCTTAGATACTGGGAAACCATGAGTTCTAGTCCTGCCTTGGCATGAAGCTGGTTGGGTGAGTTTGGATCCATCATTTTCATCTCTAAAAACAAGGCAGTGGCAGACTACTTCTGAAAATTGCATGCACTAGTGGTTCAAGCATTTGCCAGGAAGCAAAACTCATTTGCACCGTTACCAATTAAAAAACCCTTATTATACACTATCCTTTCCATTTGTTTCCTGTAATCTCCAATTTCTAGAAATTACAGTCGAAGGATGTTTCCTTATAAACAGTATGCTAAGCTACCTGGAAGAACAGTGGATATAAATGTAATAATAAATGTTGGAAAAATATTGGAAAACTAAATATTGGAAGAAAAATATTTATTTCTACTTCATCTTCTTCCAACTTCCATTGCGGAGCTTTCTGTTCTTTTTGGGCTTGTCATCCTGCCATCTATTTGCAAACTATTTGCAAAATTTGTAAGAATTACAAAAAACAAGTAGAAGTATTTGGAATACAACTTTTAGTCCATAAACCAGAGGTGATTCAATACTCATTGGGGGGAAAAAGAGTTCTTCAAAGTTTCCATGAATAGTCATGAATATTTTAATTTAAAACACAACTTTCATTTTAAAATCATTATTTTATGATTGTCTTTATTTTGGGTACATACACAGTAGAAACAGGCATTCATGGAAATTTTGAATTTGGGCAGAAAAATGTATGAGCTGGTGTAAAAGAATCAGATCTGCATCTCTTGTTCCTTTGCAGAATTAGAGAGTGCAAATGTCTACAAAATTTTTGAATGTATAACAGAAAATGGAGTCCTAATGTATCTTGCACATTGGAATCAATCTGTCGAACATAGGCTGCAAAAGTTAAGCTACCAAGGATACAGAATGTTAGGCTTCTGTTTAAGAATATCCACATTTTAAATCATAGCTAATAATCTCTAGTGTCAATCTCAGTTTTTATAGATTTTCTAAATTCATTATAATCTATAATATAAACATTTAACATTTTTAGTTGGATGTTTAAGAAATGGAATCCATATTGTTTGTGGCCAAAATGCATATATAAGAAAATTGGAAAGTATTCTTTGTACTAACATTTTCAGTAATGACTACATATGGCTTACCATGCATCCATCCATTATAACTTTTGGTTCAATCAGCGTGTTTGCTTCAAAAATATCACCATTCCATCCTTTGAAGATCAGAGAAGATTTCTGATCATGTAGTTCATTAGTTTTCCACACAGGGGTATTCAGGCAATGAACTGTAATAGTATGGGTTGCTTCTGAACTAAGTAAATGAAGGAAGTTCATCTGTACTTTTTCAATGCCAAATTCCAACTATTCAACAAAAATAAACATTATTAGAGAAAATATGGTGGCAGTTCATAACCACAAATCATACTGACACTGTTCAGTTTATATATACTTAATATATAATTATTCATTAAAAATTCCATTGCAATAACAAACTATTGGTATTTAATCTGTTAAATTATTCAGGCATAAGCATATTCCTTCCTTTTGTTACAAAACCGGATTTACACAATATAAATATGAGGAGGAAGATTACATAATGCGAATGGAAAAAACAACACTGCATACTTTGCTTTTCTAATTGTTGTTTCCATATGGACCTTGTTTGGGACCTTACTTTGACATTTGGCTTGAATTTTTAATGGTTCTTCAAATTACATAGCTGTCCATTTCAGGTTTAGAACAATCAGACTTTATTTTTTTAAAGGCCATTTTCATCTTGTTTTTCCTCTTTGTTTCCACTAAGTTCACTAAATGTTTTAGGAAATGTGATGCAGGCACAGGGAACAAAAGAAATTATTAAATAATAGTACCACTATACTAGTAATGAATAAGGTTTTGTTATCTGTGTAACCCTAAAGCTTGGTAAGGCCCTAATCTAATCTTGCCAATTTGTAATAATTCTCTGGAAATTATTTCTGAGTAAGAATGTATATGACTGATGGGTTGTACATCTATATAACTGCTGATCATTATACTATAAATCATAGCTTGCCTCTTTTTTTCTTTAAACATTCAAATAAGAACATGTGTTTAATTCATGAGCAAATATGTTCCATCGCAAGAGGTTCTTATTACAAAGTTCCCTATGTGTTATCTTCCTCTACCTATGAGCAGCTTAAGCAAGAGGGAAGACATTTTTAATGATTTGGTGGTCAAATTCCAACTCTTATAAATAAAGAAAATAGTAAGAAGACAAGTGTATGGTTGTTGCCAAAGTGATCTTACCTTTGTGACAGATACAGGAGATAAACATGTCTGGCCACCAGCAGTGAAGTTGCAGAAAACCTCAATGGCATCTGAAGGACACCCAATATTTGGATCAATCCAATATTTTCCTGTCAGTTGAGGAAATAAATGCAGACAAATTCTAAAATATGTTTTTCACCTGTGAAAACCATAGTTTCTTAAACAGAAAAGTCTTCAATCTTAAGTTTTCTTCTGCCCTTATGTGTTTTCAGATTCCAAAAATAGGGGAGAAAGAAGATACACAGTTAATGTTTGATTACTGACCACTCATTCAGTGACCAAAGTTGCAATGGCACTGAACAAAGGGTATTTAAAACCGATTTTCAAAATTCCAGCCATCACAGTATTACCACGGTTATATGTTTGAGATTTGGATGTTTGGCAACCAACTCTCATTTAGAATGTCCCGTGGTTATGTGATAGCCATTTGCCAACTTGCCTACCAGCTTCTCACAAACAAAGTAAATGTGGAAGCCAGCAAAGAATTTCAAACTTGCTTTGATAAGTCTCCCCCCCCCCCCCAAAAAAAAAATTCCTGCATACCACATCCTCTTTGCTCTTGGACACACCCACGTTCTCCTCCCCTCAACATTGCTGAATTCACACATTCTCCTACCCTGCACTTGTACTCTCACCCTCCTTCCCTTGACCTTCCTGTGTTTGTATGTACCTGTTGGACTTTTGCTGCTTCTTAATGACCCATACATGGGTCTTGATATTTCAAAGGCAACTGGGACTGCCTGGATTGTTGTTGCTAAGCAAGATCATGTGACATAGGGCTTTATGATCATAGCCTTGGCCCAATTTGCTGCTGTAACACAAGGACTACCTATAACTGTATTGTGGCTCAACTATATCCAATTGAGTTGTGAGTAAAAGATGTGATACTGTTCATTTTTCTTTGTAATTATTATTTCTGTAACTATAGTCAAAGACACTATAAACATCTTGTGTTAATAAGGAGAATATTATTTCTTTATGTGTATGTTTCCAGATTTCACAACGCTGGCAGAATCATACTATTATAGAATTGGAAACTTTGCAGAACAGGAAAGTCCTTTGGATTTAAGCAGTATCTTAGGCCAGTAAGTTGAAACCAGCTAGATTATGAAGGAGGTATATACAGTGGTGGGATTAAAATAATTTAACAACTGGTTCTCTGCTCTAATGATTTCTTCCAACAATCAGTTCACCAAACTGCTCAGAAAATTAACAATCAGTTCTCCCAAACTGGCTGAATCCCACCACTGGGTATATACCGTATGTATCTTTTATAGAATAAACTTTGCATATAAAATCATGTACAAGCTATGCAATTTTGGCCATAGCATCTGAAATAAAAATATATGAATCTTATAGAAAATAGACAATTCTATAATAAAAAAACCAAGAGTTCAGTTGCTGTGGATCTTTGATATCAAACAATCTCTAAATTCTAAACAAAGCAAAAGCTGAACAAAGTTTAAGACTTATTTAATTTTCAATGTTATTGGAAACTTACCATTAGACACTTTACGTTCACAGTTGAGCAAATCTCTGCAGATACGTGCTGGATTATCTCGGGTTCCCAACGGGTTTTTGATGCTATGGAGTAAATTGCTCAGATAATGTAGTGTTTTGAATATTTTGGCACTGTGATCCAAGAATGTCACTTCAGTGTTCTGATAATTCTGCCAAAGGGAGGGGGGAATTATATTATTGCAAAGAAATGTCAATGTACTGGGATACAGTCAATTACCAATCTAAACACTACCTATAACTGAAAATCTGGATTTTCTGATTTATGACAAATACTGCAGAAAAATAAGCTAAATGGTGGGAAAAGGTATGCCTCATATAAAAGGTCTTTGAATATTTGTCATAATTTGGATCTGACTTGGTAATAATATGCTCTTTTAAAAAATATTAATATAGTAATTGATTATTTTCTGAATATGTGTCAGCACAGTGCTATGGCTGTAAAAAAAGACAAATATAATTTTGGCTCAATATAGCTATCCTTTTCTAGATTACCAGAAATAATAATTTCACTTTGTGTTGGCTGGACAGCAACCCCCACTTCCCTCACCTCCCATCCTCATTGCCCAACTATTGCCTCTAGTCCAGAGCACCATGCTTGAGGGCATCAGACAAACTGGAATAGACTCAACGAAGAGTAACACAGATGATTAAGGGACTAGAAATTAAATTTTATGAGATGAAAAGAACTGGAAAAGTTAATGTTCTTTAATTACATAGTGGACATCACTCAGTAAGATTAGTATCTTTTTTCTATTACCCTGATGTGCAATCCTGGACTTGAAGTGACAGGACACAAATTCTAATTTAATGTTAGAAAAATCTTCTAAATTTCCCAAAGGCCAATTTGAGAATGGAAAAAATTATTCAGACTGATGATAAGTTTACACTTGTTAGATGTGTTCAAGTGGAGCTGGGTAGTATATGTCATAGTTGATTTAATTTGGCTCCCTTCATGGAGGAACCATCAGGATTGACCTAAGTAGTTCCTTCCATTTTTATAATTTATGATTTTGCTGTATCATGTTTGGTTCCAATTCCTGTTTATTCCTTTTCTATATTAAAAAGCCCTGATGCTGTAACATGTCCTTACAAAATAAGGTCATGTCATCTCTCTCTCTCTCTCTCTTTTTTTACAACAACCTAAATAATTTTGTTAACAGTTGTATGATGTCTTAAGCATTTAGATTAAAAGGCTCATATATTTTCTAGTTTGCCATTCAATGTTTCCTCCCACAAATTAATATATTATTTGAAAATCTGTAATAAAATAAAGCCTTTAAAAATTATGCATTTCTTATTCTTGAAATGGTTATTCTAATGTGTATAATTTATCAGTTTCAATGTGCAAATATCGTTACCTCCATTTCTAAGGCAGCATTTGATTCAAGCAAGGCTTGAATAGTGGCACTCATGTCTATTTGTTTCTGCATAAAATCAAAATGTTTCTTATCAGTAATATCATTGTCCAGAAATTTAAAATCAATCATATACATCTTTTTACAGAATCAAGAACAGTTATTAGGTATGCAAGGACACCAAAATCTCATTATATTATTTACATTTTATACTTTAAGTAAGCTCCAGGGCACTCAAGAAAATTGCAATGCTGAACTGCAAAGACTTCAGGAAAGTGCTTGAGATATTGACAGCCCACAAATTTACAGGAACTGGAGGCTTTTTGCCAGGAAGAATGGGCAGCTTTAAGATCTGAGAAGATAAAGAGCCTCATCCACAAATACTACAAAAGACTTCAAGCTGTCATTGATGTTAAAGGGGGCAACACACCATATTAAGAACTGTAAACTTTTGATCAGGGTCATTTGGGTAGTTTCTGTTGTCATTATGATTTAAAAAGAGTAAACACAGTTGATTGATAATAAATGGCTTCAGCCAACCACTAACCATGAGTGAAAGAAAAGTTTTTGTGTTATCATTCATATTCTCTGAAAAATGGCCAAGAAATTATAAATTCTGCCAGGGTATGTAAAATTATTTATTTATTTTTATTTGTCAATTGCTTACAAGATAATAGGTATAAGTAAAGACATAGTTATGAATACATGGATACATATAAGAAAAATAAAAAAATATAAAAGAAACAATAGGACAGGGACGATAGGCACGTTGGTGCGCTTATGCACGCCCCCTACAGACCTTTTAGGAAAGGGGTGAGGTCAATAGTAGACAGTCGAAGGTTAAAGTTTTTGGGGTTTGGGGAAAAAAGTCAGGTAGTCCAGACATTGACCACTCTGTTGCTGAAGTCGTATTTCCTGCAATCAAGTAATCAAACTTGTGAGCACAACTGTATTTCAATTGTGTATTGATTGTACATTCCCTTAAATTAAATCAGTCTTATTTCCAAGACAATTTGCACATTATTTTAAAAGCTGTTCTACATGTTATCTGTACAACGAGCATAACCTTTTATGTATTTATTAAATTTATTTGTCACTCATATCATATCAAAATGACTCTGGGCAGCTTTTAAAATAATGCAAAAGGAAGCAGAACTATAGCAGGATTAAATCATTTCCATTTAAATGGTAACTGTAGAGTTTCAAAGGTTAGGTTTGTATCCTATAGTTTTATTACCCAGTAATAAAGTTATTCTAACAAATAAATGGAACTTACTCTTGGTCCAGGTGCTCCTGGTGGACCCTAAAAACAAAAGGGAAAAAGAGAGTTTACAAGATTGTATGTTATATAAATTAGGAGTTATTCAATTATATCTTTTGATAGTATTTTGATTTCTTACAGGCAGACCTGGACGACCGCGGGGTCCTTGAGGGCCCTGAATGAAAGAAGAGATGATAAAAATGTCTGAATAAGAGTAAGATTACTTTAAATCTTCATGTATTAGTTTGTAATTCAATGTAACTTAATTCAAATATTAAAGTAAATGTAAATGGACTGAATTAAATAGGAACTATATTTGTGACTTATTGAAAAATTTCTCAACATGCTGTAGGCCGTTTGTCTACGTTCCTAAAAGTATGTACTATGTATTTATAAAGCTATTGTATACTATTTGTTTTAAATCTACAATCCCTTCTAAAATATGGCAACCCAATAAGACTGGATAAGTAATATTATTTTATTTTTCATTCCTTGTATACATTTGGAGGTCATTTAGAATTGATTAATTAAATTATACCAGAGACACAAGCATCAAGCAGTTTGCATAATCCCCAGTCAGTTAAAATGTTACTCTAAAACAAATCCATGCATTACATGCTTAATTTATTAGCAGTGCATAACTAATGCAACTGTCAGATGCAATGGTCTGCAAATCTAGTTTACAGAAGATAACATTTATTGCCCACAGAAGGATAAATATTTCCCAAATATACAAGCTTCATAAGAAAATAAATTCGCACTGCTGTTGAATAATGTCAGACTTGAGTAATTGTGCTGCACTCATAGCCCATAATACTTTTTTTTTCTTCCATTAAATTGTATCCAATTCTTGGACACCACCTGGACAAATCCCTGCAGTTTTGTTAAGTTTTTCAGAAATGGTTTGTCACTGCTTCTTTTCTAAGGCTGAAAGAAAGTGACTAGCTCAAGGACATTCCGCTGGCTTTAAGGCCAAGGTGGGACTAGAATTCAGAGTTTCCCAATTTCTAGCCTGGTGCCTTTAACCACTACACCAAACAGCTTCTTATATAGTACATAAACAGATACTTAAAGACTTATATAAAAAAGCCTAAAAATGTTGCACAAGTTAAGTGGTTAGATTAGGGGTGTCAAAATCAATTTCATTGATGGCCACATCAGGGCTGTGGTTGACCTCGGGAAGACAGATGGGCGTGGCCGACTGGGTGGGAATGGCTAGCTTGACACCACTCCCCAAACTGCTGGAATGTTTCTTCTTCGCATTGGGTAGACCGGACCGACGGCCTGATCTTTCCTCTTTGCATTGAGTAGACTGGGCCAAAACTATGTTGTCCTGATCTTTCCTATTCACAATGGGTAAACTGGGCAAAAGCTATGCTGGCCTGATCTCTGTGCTGAGTAGACAGGCCAATCTTTCCTCTTTGCATTGGGTATACCAGGATGCCCCGCGGGCCGGATCCGACCACATCGCAGGCCAGATCCGGCCCACGGGCCTTGAGTTTGACACCCCTGGTATGGAATGTTATATACCCTAAGGACAGGGGTGGGATTCTACCAGTTCGCACCTATTCACTAGAACCGATTGTTAACATTCTAAGCAGTTCGGAGAACCAGTTGATAGAAGAAATTACTGGCCTAATCCTGTAAGGAAGGCAGGAAGGAAACATTCTGGTGCTGCTTACAGAAACTGCCTCTCTGTTAACCCTTATTACATTCGGGGCAGGACTAGATTTCCTGTCTCAGGAACTTCTCTGTAGTTATTTTCCCCTCCTTTGCTGGTACTTTGCTTGTGTGGAATGACTATTTAAAGTTACAATGGCACTGAAAAAAGTAACTTATGACCATTTTTCACTTACGACTGTTGCAGCATCCCCACAGTCATGAGAGGCCAGGTGAGGAGATGCATGCCTCGATGTGAGTGATATTGAGTTGGCCATGTCCAACCAATAACATGACCACCAACCCATGTCCACCCAGTCACATGGCCACCAAGCCACGCCCACCAATTAAGCCATGCCCACAGAACCGGTTGTCAAAAAATTTGAATCACACCCCTGCCTAAGGATAATGAAAATAAACAAATTTCAGAGTAACCACCTTGTCTGAAATCAGCCTTTATGCCAACTATTGCTTTTTAGTGAAGTTCTGTGATGATAGAAAGACTACAATTCTCTTAAAATATGAGATTAAAAAAAAAAAAAAACAAGAGTGATCCTGAGGTAAAAATATCTTGGCAACCAATGGAAATAATAACAAGTTTCTTTCAATGTTGTATTTTGTTAGCTTAGATCACTACAGTGTTTTCATATGCTTCTACAGGCAGCAAATATGCTTTACTTTAATTGTATTACATTATTTTTATTCTGGACTGGGCAATGACCATAAATTTATCACAGCTGAACCTGAAGTAATCTCAGTTCTTCAAGATGGCTGACTTGGGGGAGCACAGCTGTTGCAAATTGCTTTCATTCTCACCCTACCCTAGAAATGTTCTTTGATTTCCTTATCAATTCATCGAAAGAAATAGAAACTGTTTAACAAAAACTTTTCTGCACCACTTTAAGAAAAATAGTTGTTGAAAAAACTTAGGAACTGGGAAATTATGTAAGCAAAATTATTATGTAAACAAAATGATCCAGACAATACCCTGTTCACAAAGCACTTATGTATGTAAAGAGAAAATGTATAAACTATTAAAAGAAAAAAAAAACTTGTTCAAAAGTAAATAACAACAGGATCTAGAAAAGATGACAATTTTTCCCCTACCCTCTGAATAATACAATCAGATGTAGTGCGGAACTGAATGAAATTCTCTTAATGGTTTTCAACATAATTGGAAATAAAATTTTCCGCTCTTGTGAAGGCTAAACTAATTGCTTTGTGCTGCCAAGAATTTATGTGTAATTCTTCTCTGACAAGTCTCATGCAAAGAATGTCAAGATGGAAGAAAGCATCTAATTGCCGTGACCCAAAGATTAAATCATACTGATGCCGATTTTCCCCTGCAGCTCACTGGAAATACCATTAGCACGAAGCTAGGAGTTTATGTCAGAGTAACAGCAGATAAACCACAAAAGTATCTTTAGACACTGAACAAGTACAATAAAATGAAATGCCTAAAGCTCAATCCTAAATGCATGTAGTAGAAAGAAATACAATGGACAATAATGGGCTTAAGCCATAGGACTGTCTGGTCTCCTCAGGACTAGAAAATAGTTTTTTACAAGACCAGTACTTGTTTTGAAAGTTGCCACGAGTCTGAACATGATTAAGATTTCTACTTTTCTCTTGTATGGGAAAAACATTATTGATAATATCTAATATTCCTTATGGAAAAAGTGAAAAATGACCTTGTGATTTATCAGTTTAAAAATCAGAAGGGGTAGTATATGTAAAGAAGGAAATTGTGATATAACTTTAAGAGAGATACAGGTTAAAATACAAATGTATTTATGATCATTATCAAAAAGATTGGAGCCTGCTTTTACCTTTTTGAAATTTTCTTTTTCCATTTTCTTTTTTATTTATATTAGTCCTTATTTTCTTATTTTCTTTTTAATATTTCTACTACTTTTTTCTTGTTAAAAATTTCTTCAGTAAAAATTATATTAAAACACTAATAAATTAAAAGCATGTGAAGTTTGCTTTTTTGTCAACTAATTATTACCTTCCAACATTTAGAATTGAAGGTGATATATGTGACATATGAAAAATATGCATTATTTGTCCATAAAAGATATAATAATAAACACATCTCAATAAAGTTACTTCATCAGGGTTGGCCTAAAACATTGGGATCGGCACCAAGCATATGCTGCTTTCATAGAGATATGCATTCCAAAATTCTTTGCAATTTGTGCATATATTCCAATGATAGCTCACCCTTTCTTCTAAGAGGTCATGCAGGGATCTTGCCTCATTTTATCCCCATAACTTTGAGCTAGCTTGGAGTGAGAATGAATAATTGGTCACAAATTACCCAATTAGTTGCATAGTCCAACACCTTCTCTGCTATCCTTTATTGGCTTGCAGCACACTGCACACATTTTGATTATTATGAGGGTTTCATTGTTACCCTAGCAAATGGCTTACTTTTTGTTTACCGTTGGACTACTCTTAATCTTTCAATTGAGTGATTTAAAAGTAAATCAACCATCTTTGTCCAATAAAATCATTGCAGTAAGGGACATAATAGGCATTGGAATTAAAGCCAGAAGTTTTACTTTTAATTTTTTATGGCTTCAGCTAAGAAATCTGGGAATTGAAAGTTTATTGAGACCAAAACATTTTTATGTTAGAGATATTTAGTCTCTTTAGATATTTCTAAGGTTTTCTGGACAAAGGAGAAGCCACTCACATATTCATGGGTATTAGGCAGAAGGTAGCATTTTAGATTATTCCTGCATAAATAGAAACATATTTCTAATTTCCAAAGACAGTGGAGTCATTAGCAGGAAGGTCTACAACTCATAAGAGTACATGCTTTATGAAGGATCCAATCTGCGTCAGTCACCAGGATCAGAGGTTTTGTCTTCTGAGCTTTCGGACTCATGCTGGAGTTCATCTTCAGGGAACTTCTCTCTAGCAGAATGTGTGCTGTTCTGTGTGCTCTGATAGAAACAGGCTTGTTCTGTATTCTTTTGCACAGGACACATCATCACCAGGAAGTACCGAGTAGACATTTTCAACTATTCAATTATGACACCTGGATACTGGGTACATATACTGCTCAGAGTTGATAATGACTACAGCGATTTATAAAGCCACCTAGCCAGCCAGCCAGCCATGCAGCGGTTAATAAATCAGCCTAGTCTTTTTGTTTAAACTTTTGCTTACACTAAATAAACAAACCATACTAATAACATGCATAGCATCTGTTGTGCATCCACTTTAATTTTTGCTTCGGTGAACCAACACTACCAGATTGGAGGCCATATACTAGTACAAAATATCAGCCAGCCAAGAGACAATTTAGAACCACAGCAGTATGATCTTTTATATAACCTGAAAACATCTTTCAGTGCTTTGCTCAGCACCCTTACATATATCCATAATCCAAGGTTGGGCTTCAAAAATTTTAGCAAAGGGTTTTCTGCCCAGTTGCTGGGTGGGCCTGGCCTAGTCTGCCTCCTGCACCACAGGGGGGGCATTTTTGCCCTCCTCAGGCTCCAGAGGCTCTGACAGGCCCGTTTTTCAGCCTCCCGACCCTCCACACATGCCCTGCACTTACCTGCATCCAAAATGGGCCATGTGGGGACTCTTGGGAGGGGCAGGGTGGGGTGGGGCAGACAGGAATGGGATTTGTGGGATCTCCGAACTGCAGAGAATTGTAGCTAGGGGCTCTCCCAAACCCCTGCAAACCCCCAGCAGCCCACCCCTACCCTAATCCTCTGCACAAAGAATGAATACTGGTTTCACTTACAATTTCACCTCTGGATCCCTTTTCTCCCCTGTATCCCTGGGGAAAAAAATGAAATTACATTAATCTTTTATGTCCTCCTGCTTTCAATCACACTGAGATGTACTGATATCTAAACACTTATATGAAGAAATGCATCAACATTAATTCAGCTGTATGAATATTTACAGAAAGGCATTTACTTTTTTACTGGATGAAAATTAATAACTTTATAAAACTTAGCGTATTGTCCTAAAAGCTTGCAAGGAATTTACATAGCATGTTTTTTTTTAAATAAACCTTTCTGTTTTAATTTCCATGTATAGTAATTCATAAATAACATAAATTTAATCTGCAAAATCTGCTTGTGCTTCACCTTTTTAAAAATGTGTGTCTTAATTCAATTTATAATTCTGTAATTCTGTTTGCTATATTTCACCTACTGTATGTTTAGGTACAAATCTATGGTAAATCATAATAACTACATGGAAAGTTATAATTATTCTCTCATGCACAATGTACATATGTATACTTCTTGTTCAATCACTGAGGCACTTCCAACTCTTTGGGACCCATCATATTATCAGGCTTTGGCTGTCAGTAACTGCTTCTGTTGGCTATTTTGGTGATTGCCTTTTATTTTTCTAAGTATCAGTCTTCTTCAACAATCCCTGACTGCACATTCTATGTTCAATATATTTAAGCTTCAGCTTCATTATTAGTACTTGCAGTGAGGACTCTAGAGTTTATATTAATGAGTTCTTATTTTATGACTGAATTGTCAACAATTTTCTCTAATACTACAATTCTTTTTTGTGTATTTTTATTTGGTATTATTACCAAATAATACCTATGCTTTTTTACCTATGTTTGCTGCTTAGAGTCATTAATGTGAGAAGGATATCAATTGAATAACATTAATACATTCAAAGGCATCCGTCTTTCCTTGTTTGGGTTCTAATATTTTTACAGCTATATATTACAGCTGGGAAAATCATGCTTTGACAATGCATATCTCTATTGCCAGAGTAATATCTTTGAGTTTTAAAATACAGCTAGATGTGTCATATTTGTTCACTTTTCTTCAGATATTTTCAAAATTAACAGACACTCATTTCAACATCTTTTGGGTTTTTTTTTGTATTTCAGGATATTTTTGTTTGTGCAATCTTTAATGATGTTACATATTTCAATGTAGAGTTCTTCAAGTCCATCTAATCTATTAGATCTATTCCTTACTTTATGCCCATGATAATATGGATTATCGCAATGTAGCATTTGTTGATCTGATGAATTTGCTTTCTTTAGTTTAAAATGTAATTTTTCAAGGTGTTTGTGACCTGAGCTACATCTTGTTTGTGCACACCGAATGGATGTTTTCCAGATTTTACTGCTGTTTACCTGCTGAGTTTGATTTTGGTGCTTCTCAGGTAATAGTATTGAGTTGTCTTTTAATTTATTGGAAGAAGGTATTTGCTAGAAATGTCCATTTTTCTTGACATATTCTTATAATTTTCATGGCATACTCTTATACCTATACATCCGGGTAATTTTTCCCACTGCAGGTATATTTCACTTCTAACATAGATTCCTCATTTGCTATAACTATTATGCTTTCTTCTGATATTGAATCAACACAGTGTTTTAAGTCACCCTAGAACTATTAGCCTTACGCTTCCTCTGTCTCTGTGATTACAGCATAGATTTGATCACGAAAATAGTAAGTAGATTGGTTTGTTCTGAAATTGAACTGACATTAAATCTATTATTTGGAAGTTGTATCCAAGCATTGATTTTGGTTCCTTTTTGTTAATAAGTAACCCAGTAATGTATGAAGTAGTTCTCATGTTCCTTTTAACCTATTGTAGACCAATCCAACTGGCTGATTTCTAGTATACCAATGTTTGAACTTAGCATCTCTGCTCTGGAAACATACATTTTGCCTTGATTCATAGTTCTGTCGTTCCATATCAGGGGTGTCATACTCAAAGCCCGCGGGCCGCATCTGGCCCCCAGGGTGTTTAGATATGGCCCCCGGGACCACCCTGGAAACAGCAAAGGACCGGCCTGAGGTACCTCTGCAGCCTTCCCAAGCTCCATTTTCACTGGCAGAGGGTTGCAGGAGACCGTCCCGGTCTAAAATGGAGCTCAGGACCACACGCAGCCCTTCTGAGTTCAGTTTTCACTGGCAGAGGGTTGCAGGAGACCGTCCCAGCCAAAAACAGAGATCGGGAGCCCATTTTCACTGGCAGAGCAGTCGGGCCACCACAGGTGCTGACATGAGTGACAAGCTGGCCATGCCTCCCCCCCCCGAGGTCAAACATAACCCTGCTGCGGCCCTCAATGAAATCGAGTTTGACACCCCATGTTCTATATACTAATTGTATATCTTTAGAGAACTGAAATTTTATTTTGCTTCTGGACATGTCAACAACTTCATCCATCTACATGATAAAGCACCAGTATTATTCATATTTGCTTTCTGCTATTTATTTGTTTGTTTGTTCCGTCTTTATTATTTTTATAAATAAGGTGGTGAACACAGCTATTTCTCTTTCCTCCTAATTTCCCCACAAGAACCCTGTGAGGTGGGTTGGGCTCAGAGAGAATAACTAGTTCAAAGTCACTCAACAAGATTTCATGTCTAATGCAGAACTAGAACTCGTAATCTCCTGATTTCTAGCTTAGTGCCTTAATCATTAAACCAAAACTGGTCTCTTCCCATTAGCTTCTGATTTGGGGATTCATATTCCAGTATTATTTTAATATTGTCCTGGTATGAAAGTCCACTTAATTTTCATGGAAGAATCTTGAAATGGGTTGCCATTTCCTGCTCTAATGTATTTAGTCTATATATGTGTGCATATATGTTTCATTACATTGAATATATGGTTAATTAAAATGTTATATATAGAAATTACACAAATAATGTTTGGCTTATTAAGAATATATTTGAATGTTTCAGTATTATCCAACGCATAAAACCAAAATGAAAAGTAGCATTTGTGCTTATAATTAGGACTCTCCTACATGTGTATTTTTTCCTGCTAAAAATAAGCAATTATCTAATTTGTAGAAATTATCTAATTTATGAATTTTTGATATATTGCAACTTTTTAAATAAATATTCCTTGGTATCAAAAATATTTGTGAATTAAGACAATGTATCTTAGGAAAAATGTAGAAAAAGCATTACATGTGGGAATAAAAAATAAAGGGAGATTTCAAATTGTGATGAGCTGCACTTACAGGTTTGCCAGCTGGGCCAACAATACCTTCGTAACCTACAGGGCCTGTGTTTCCCTGAAAACCAAAAGGAAAATAATTTGTAGAGCAATAACTGAATGCAAATGTTCTTATGAAAACTTCATGTTATGTCATACTTTTATTTATGTTCCATTACCAAATATATAATGATACTAAACTAGTTTCTGGGTACAATATAAATTTGTAATACAAATTTAGTTTATCTAGTTTTTATTTTCATATTTTGCTTTGCATTTCAGAGAGGCATTTATGAAAATTTGAATAATGTACTAAAGGTAAAGGAATTAGACTTCTGTTCCTTTAAAAACAAAAGTGAGCAAGTATTACATTTCATGTATGCATTTTATGTTTAGATTAACAAAAAACTCATATAGTATACTACAAGCTGTAATTTAAGTTAATAAGCAAGATCACCATTACTTTTTCTAACAAAGTTATACTGCTTTACCAAACAAAAATAATACAATATTATAAAGTTATTTTGATGAATGGGTATTCAGAATACCAATTCAGAAGTAAATGCATAAAACCAATAATAAAAAAATAATATTAGTCCTAGTCTAATAAAGTTTTAAAGATTAAGTAAAAATATTCAAGGAGGAAGCCAAGAATATTTTGTGCAGGAAGAAAAAACTTGGTCTATGTAACAAAAACCTTTTTTCCCCTTAATAATTAATTCATTACTAATTATTGTTTTGGAAAAGCTCAAAGTTATATAGCAATAGTACTTAGACTTACGTATTGCTCTATAGTGCTTTACAGAACTCTCTGAGCAGTTTACAACTTTAGTATATTGCCCCAACCATCTGGGTCCTCACTGTACCAACATTGGAAGGATGGAAGGCTGAGTCAACCTTGGTCAGGACTGAACTCTCGGCTGTGGGCAGAATTAGTCTGCAATACAGCATTCTAACCAATGCACCACCAGGGCTCTTATCTGCTAAGCTTGGTAATTTGTGTACATATTAAGGAGGTAGAGGAACTTTGATGGATCTGAACTAGTGGTGGGTGGACCTTAACTGAGAAGGTCTGAACGATCTGGGAGAAACATTGAAAGATTTATTTCCAAGTGAAGTATTTTGGGAAACCATGATTAAAGACGCCAGGAAGGATCCGAAGGATCCCTCTGCTCACTCCATCTAGATTTTTCTAACAGCTTAAGATAGGGAACGTAGTGATTCTAAAATGTAATCCTGAGATTAATTATGATATTCAGGATTACATGATTTTGTGCAATGTAACTTGCTTTATATATGTCCCTTATGTAATTGTTTCCTGATGAATGAAATTAGATTTGGGACCTACTTCATATACAGATTTGTTAAGATGTTGTCTTATTTATGCCTGAGTTCAATAGCAGATAGGAGAAGCTTCTCGGGACAGATGGACCGCTTTAAGTTTGCGCCAAATGATTTAGAAGAGTCCTTTTATTATGCCAATCAACCTCCTGCTTCTTCACAGTCCTATAAGACCTATGCCTGTGATATTAATGGCAGCTGAGTTTGACTTGTGAAGAACAGTTTCATGTGGTACCTGCAAAAATTAAACTGACGGTATAGAAAGAACCACTGTAGAAAGCAAACATGAAACTTTGGTCATGCTAAACTCTCTAGAAAAAATACAATCAGATTCAAAGGACATATTAAAAACTTATATACCCATATCTTACCCATATCTAAGACAGCATCTTTAGCAATTTCCCCTGAAACAGGAGGATGAGGTTCAGGTACCCATAATTTTAAAATGACTGTGACTGTTTATTTTGTTTTTAACCATGTCACTGTTTACAATCAAGATTTTTATGGAGAAATAGCTTTATCTGAATGTTTTCTCGCTTTTCTCTGGACTGGAGAGTCTCAACTGTGATCAGCAGGCTCCCTCATGGCCTGAAAAAGCTGCCCACTTAACCTCTTAATCAGCTGTTTGAAATATTACATATTTTTTAAAATTCTAGTAGACATTGCCATCTGGTGGCCAGAATTAATGTGTTTTTTTTTTAAATGAAATTTGGTCAGCTGTTTAGGTTCTAAGAGAAGAGAATATTTGTAGCTCAGGATGGAACTGGGGAGTCCTGGGTACTCTCTGAGCTTGACTAAATCCAGAAACTGGTAGAGAATTCCTGGAAGCCTAGAACTCTGACAAATGAATCATCAACAAGCACAAAAGCAACATTTACATATCATTCATAAGAGACAAACAAAAAGTTAAAAAGGAAACAATTAAAAGACCAAAATACCTTGCCAGCAATCAATACTCATATAAATAGGGATTAACACCAGGGTTAATACCAGACCAACAATCAAACAGTAAATAACAGCCTAATCAAGGAACTACCAAGAAGAAAACACTCCCACTAATGCTAACTGGGCAAGTCACTATATATAGAAAGCAAACCTCACTCCCTTCTAGCACTGAAGATATTTTCTAGTTGAGTAATGCAACATCTGCAAAAAAACAAACTCAGAAAGTATCAAGGCTCTATTAAGATATTTTACTCAACTACAGCAAGAGCAACCACCGTAAGTCCATCTTGTGCTTTCGGTATTAAGAATGCTTGGGAAGAAAACATTAGATACTACTTGGAGGGAAACGGTCTGAGCCCAATCTCAGAAGAAAACAAAGTACTTAATAAAGAAATAACATTAACAGAGTTACAAAAGGCAATACAAAAACAAAAAAATAATAAAACACCAGGCCCGGATGGTCTACCAAGTGAACTATATAAAAATTTATCTGAAATATTTGAACCAATATTACTGGAACTATATAATGAGGCATTAACACAAGCTAGACTTCCGAGGTCCTGGTCCGAGGCATACATCTCCTCAATTGCAAAAGATGGCACTGATCAACAATTAATTGCGAACTATAGGCCAATCCCGTTGCTATATACGGATTATAAGATATTTATGACAATATTAGCAGAAAGAATGAAACCAATTTTGAGTGAACTTATACACACAGAATGGTTTCCTGCCAAATAGACAAATTAAAAACAATATTAGGACAGTACTAAATTCGATTGAATACTATGAAGCTCATCCAGAAAAACAGTCAGCTTTAATATTTTTAGATGCACAAAAAGCATTCGACAATCTTAATTGGAAATTCATGCTATATCAAATTAAAAAGCTGAATTTTGGCACTAATATAGAAAAAACACTACAAGAAATATACTCAAATCAAAAAGCAAGTGTATTATTAAATGGAGACCATACTGAAGATTTTGAAATTGCAAAAGGAGTGAGACAAGGGTGTCCATTATCGCCTCTGTTATTTATCTTGTCTTTAGAAGTGTTGCTAGCTGCAACCAGACAAAACCCAGAGATTTATGGAATTAAGATTAGAAATGAGGAATATAAAATTCAGGCATTTGCTGATGATTTGGTATTTATAGTGGAAGATCCAATGAATTCGGGACCAATATTGCTGCAACAAATAGAAAAATTTGGGGAAGTAGCAGGATTTAAAATAAATAAAAATAAAACTAAGATGATAGTCAAAAACTGTACAAAAAAACAGAAAGTAGAATTAGAAAATACAATAGGACTGCAAATAGTAAAAAAGGTGAAATACCTGGGAATTTGGATGTCACTCAGATGTTCATCGTTAAAAGAGGACAATTATGTCAAACTGATTAAGCAAATCAGAAAAGAATTGGAATTATGGGCCAAATTGAAACTGTCTATATTAGGAAGAATAGCAACGTTGAAAATGAATACCTTACCAAAACTAATATATCTATTCCAAATGATTCCAATTAAATTAGGGAAATCTTTTTTTATAGAACTAAATAAAATGACATCCAAGTTTGTCTGGTTGGGTAAGCAGCCACGTATTAAAATGAAACTATTACAAGATAATAGGAGCAGAGGCGGTCTAGGACTACCAGAATGGGAGCTTTATTATCAGGCAGTGGTGTTGAGTTGGATTAAGGATTGGATTAAATTAAGAGATAAGAGAATCTTAACATTAGAAGGACATGACCTCTTGATAGGTTGGCATGCATTTTTGTGGGAAAATAAAAGTAATATACATACCTATTTCAATCAACACCTAATAAGAGATTCATTGATTACAATTTGGAAAAAAATCAAAGGTAAACACTATACAGAAATCCCACGATGGCTGTCAACCATGAAAGCCATAATACATCCAAATAGATTAGACCTACGGAAAATGGTAAGCTATGAAGAACTATTAGATAGCCAAGGGAAATTAAAATCAAACCAAGAACTGAAAGAAAATGAAATTATAATCGATTGGTGGCCATATTTGCAAATTCAAAATAAATATAAAAAAGACTCAAAAGATTTTGGATTTGACAAAAGGCAGAACTAGATAAAATATTAATGGGATCAGAACAAAAACTTACATCTAAAATATATAAATATTTATTAGATTTTAAAATGGAAGAGGAAATAGTCAAAAGTACAATGATTGCATGGGTACAGAATTTTGGATACACTATAGAATTAGAGGAATGGAAAGAATATGGAATATAAATTATAAATTAACGGTATCTGCCGCATACAAAGAAAACATATATAAAATGTTTTATAGATGGTATTTAGCCCCAACAAGATTGGCAAAAATCTACTCCAAGCGCACCAACGTGCCTACCGTCCCTGTCCTATTGTTTCTCTTATTCTTTTATTTTTCTTATATGTACCCATTTCATGTATTCACAACTATGTATACACTTATACTTATTATCTTGTAAACAATTGGCAAATCAAATAAATAAATAAATAAAAATAAAAATAAATATGAGTCCTAAATGTTGGAAGTGCAAAAAAGTTGATGGTACATTTTATCACATGTGGTGGATGTGCCCCGAGGCCAGGACATACTGGATTCAAATTAAAAATTGGTTAAAAGAGATTACTAGCTATCAGATTGAGCTCAGACCAGAATCCTTCCTATTAGGAATTATTAAAGAAAGACTACCGAAAGAAGTAAAATACCTAATGTTACATATTATAACAGCTGCCAGGTATGGAAAACACCAAATACCTCGAATGAAGAACTAATAATACACAAAGTAACAGAAAGTGCTGAGATGAATATGCTAACAATGAAATTGAAAGAAAAAGATGAGCCTGAATTCTTTACAATTTGGAACAATTGGTATAAATGGCTAAAAAACAGAACCAAGAAGTGAGACAAAAATGTTAACTGAAACAACCCTTAAGAAAGTAAAATAAAATTTGGTAAACTATATAAAGATATAAGAATAGTAATTATAGCTAAAGATATTATTTAATAGTAGATAAACGCAATATAATGTATTATGATATTTAAATCAAAATCTTGTATAGATGCCAAGAACGTTGTTGATACCATGTTTTACGATGTAAAAAAAAAGAAAATTAATAAAAATTATTTAATTTAAAAAAAATGCTTGGGCTCATCAAGGCTTTGGTAGAGCAGAACAGCAATGCTGCTAATTAAGTTGTTTATACTGATTTTAGTATTGATTATGACTGTACCTCACTTACAATTGACTGGCCTGGTGTGAATAGCTGTAAACAAGCAAATAAGTCTTAATAATCATATAAATAGATAGAACTACTTACTATTTCACCTATTGGGCCTTTTGGTCCCAAAATTCCAATTAAACCATGATCACCTTCAGGGCCCTAAAAATATAATACAACACTATTTATTTGTTGGTTGGTTTGTTTATTTATTAAATGCACAACAATTGGATAAAAACCACACATATAAAACACACACACACACACACACACACACACACACACACACACACACAAAGAGTATCACCCAGTGGCCATATCTACATGTTAAAAAAAGAGACGAAAGGACTTCTCATTCCATGTCATCTTTGACTGGAATTCACCATCATCTGCCATTTAATGCCTTATGTCTTAAAGATGCTTAATATTTAATAAAACTGGTCGCAAAGAAACCACATACCTTGGGACCTGGAAATCCTTGAAATCCCATCAAACCTTGATCTCCAAATTCTCCCTGTAATATTTGTAGACAAAAGGATTAATACTTTGCAATGACATCTTAATAGATACTTTACATACCACAGCAGATACATACGGCGAATCCTTTCTGGCCAGGAAGTCCTGGGGGGCCTTGATCACCTTGTGTCCCTGGAAGTCCTCTTCTACCTTGCTTTCCTGGATGTCCCCGAAGCCCTTGTTCACCCTGCAGCAAGCCAGAATGAGAATGAATACCTATTCTCAGAGACAGAAAGCCTTCTCAGTTAGACAGGAAACGGACCAGATGAGCTACTTCTACTCTACAGTCGAGATCAAGTGGGGTACTAATACCACTTTATAAAGCCTTAGTAAGACCACACCTAGAGTACTGCATCCAGTTTTGGTCACCACACTATAAAAAAGGTGTTGAGATTCTAGAAAAAATACAGAGAAGAGCAACCAGGATGATTAGGGGACTGGAGACTAAAACATATGAAAAATGGTTACAGGAACTGGGCATGGCTAGTCTAGTGAAGAGAAGGACCAGGGGAGACATGATAGAGGTCTTCCAATATTTGAGGGGCTGCCACAGGGAGGAAGGGGTCAAGCTATTTTCCAAAGCACCCGTAGGCCAGACAAGGAATAATGGATGGAAACTGAACAAGGAGAGATTTAACCTGGAAACAAGGAGAAACTTTCTGACAGTGAGAACAACCAATCAATGGAACAACTTGCCCTCGGAAGTTGTGGGAGCGCCATCACTTGAGACTTTCAAGAAGAGACTGGACTGCCATTTGTCAGAAATGGTGTAGGGTCTCCCCCTTGGGCGGGGGGGTTGGACTAGATGACCTACAAGGTCCCTTCCAACTCTGATTATCTGTTATTTACTGTAAACTACATTAACAGAATCTTGCAAGACTAAAAGTACAAATCTCCCACCTTTTCCTTTACACCCTCAGAAGTTAGAGAGGGTCCCTTCTGAGCTTCTTTCTCCACTCATTATGCAGTTGTGGGCTGTATAGTCTCTTATCTGATCATTGTTCCCTAGGAATCATTGCTTTGCCCAGCTTCTCAGTGTCTTTCTCACATGCCATTACATGAGCAAAGAATCTTGCGTTATTAATAAAAGCAATCCAAATAATTTTTAAAAGGTTAAGGCATGGTGTTATTTCATAAGCCACCCCAGGTCAAGCTGGGTTGTCTTGTAAATTTATTTTATTTAGCATATTTATATAGTTGCCCATCTCACATACATGTGATTCTTGGTGGAGAAACAATACAGCAAGAGTTACAAACTCCACAACAACCTGAAAACGTCAAAAAACCCAAAGTACCTTTAGTCCTGGGAGGCCGGGGCTTCCTGGCGCACCTGGTGAACCTTTCGGTCCATGACTCCCAGGATATCCTGCTAGTCCAGCTATTCCTGGGCTTCCTCTAGTACCCTTGACCAAAAAAAGCCAGTTAAACAGAGTCCCTTAAGTCAGCCACCCCATTTTTTTTTTTTTAGCAGAGGACAAATTACAAGTTTTAATATATTCAGAATAGCCACTATTATTTCATATATAAATTTAACTAGCCGTATTCACACACTGTGATGCTACACCCCTGAAATAATAATGCCATTACAAGGCTACTTAAAATATCAGATATGGTAGCATAGGTAAAGCAGCATAAATGAATACTAACTCTACAAACTGAATTCTAATTCAGAAATCACTCACCGTATTTCACAAAGCTGCAAACATTAATATCAAACTGACTACCTATACTAGTCAGAAATTCCACCAACTGCAAGATAAAGGTGGCTTCAGTTAAGACAAAAAGGAATTCTTGAAGCTGACCATCTATTTTATTATAAAAATATTAAGGTGAACATGCGGAAGGCATTGCTTATGTTCCCAGTGTAGCACATTCTGTTTCTACATAGGTTTATCCGATGCTACAATGTAAAGTAAGTAAAGAAATGGAACTTGCAATACTAAACTTTTGATGCAGCTCCTTCTCAAAGAAAAATGGCTGGCATTATTTGAGTGGGAAGTGATGTCTCTAGGGAAATATTGACATTGTATTCTTGTGTAATGTTTGCTAATGCACATTACTGACGATGCCATTTTTTTAAAGACCTCCATCATCACCGGAATAAAGTTACTTCAACTGTTACTCACAGGAAGGCCCTGCTGTCCAGGTAACCCTGATTTTCCAGGATTGCCAGGTACACCTTCTGGTCCAGGGTTGCCAGCTACGCCTTTCTGACCAACAGGACCAGGTTCACTCTGAAATAAATTTGAATTCTGCTTGAAAGCTCTACACCATCTAGATCTAAGTTACACCACTGACAATCTGACACAGTCAATAACCAATGTAATAGCAGCTCAGGTTGATAATACGGGATTGAGATCAGATTTGCTTACTTCATTTTAACTATATTTTCTCTCTGAGTGTATGTATTCATAATAAAATCAGGCTGCAATTATAAAAGTACATTTCAAGGATAAGCTATATTTTAGTGGAGCTTAGTTTCATGTTAATATCTCAAGATTTCAACATAAATATATTCCATTGTATATTTCCATAGGTTAAGGACATTCTATTTGACTTGCTATTTATCTTTCACTGATAATGTGTCTTTCTGCATAGAATAACCTAAATTTACTTACCGTGTTTCTCACAAAATAAGGCCGGGCCTTATTTTTTTTTGACCCCTGAAAAAACAAGTAGGCCGTCTTTTCGGGGGTGACTTAATTTCCTCCCCCACCTAGAGCGGCCCATACGCACGTACATCGCCGCGAGGCCGCTTCTATCGGCCAATGAAAGCTCCCCAAAGGCAGAGTCCCCAGATGCTGCAGGGCGTGGCATGGCTGCCCGTGTCCCCTCGCCTTTAGGCAGTCTCTTTCGGGCGATGGAAGCTCCCCAAATGCAGTCACCAGCTACTTCAATCGGCCGGTAGAAGCAGCCTCGCAGTGAGAGGAGTGTGTGTGTGCCATGCCTTGCCCCAAAGCGGCTGGGGACTCTGCCCTCAAGGGAGCTTTCGTCTGCCGAAAGAAGCAGCCTCACGGCGAGGAGAGTGTGTGCGTGTGCGCTCTCCCCGAGGCCGCTTCTACCGGCCGAATGAAGTGGCTGGTGACTGCATTTGGGGAGCTTCCATCGCCCGAAAAAGACTGCCTAAAGGTGAGGGGACATGGGCAGCCCTGCCTCGCCCCGAAGCAGCTGGGGACTCTGCCTTCAAGGGAGCTTTCATCTGCTGATAGAAGCGGCCTCGTGGCGAGGGGAGCGTGTGTGTGTGCGCGCTCGCCCCGAGGCCGCTTCTACCGGCCAATCGAAGTGGCTGGTGACTGCATTTGGGGAGTTTCCATTGCCCGAAAGAGATTGCCTAAAGGCGAGGGGACATGGGCAGCCACGCCTTGCCCTGAAGTGGCTGGGGACTCTGCCTTTCGTCTGCCGATAGAAGCGGCCTTGCGGCGAAGGGAGTGTGTGTGTGCGCTCACCCCGAGGCCGCTTCTACCGGCCGATTGAAGCTCTCTTGAAGGCAGAGTCCCCAGCCACTTCGGGGCGAGGTGTGGCACACAACACTCCCCTCGCTGCAAGGCCGCTTCTACCAGCCGATTGAAGTAGCTGGTGACTGCATTTGGGGAGCTTCCATCGCCCGAAAGAGACTGTCCTAAAGGCGAGGGGACACGGGTAGCCACGCCACGCCCTGAAGCGGCTGGGGACTCTGCCTTCAGGGAGCTTCTATCGGCTATCGGGATATTCTAGCCTAGGCTACCTGCAGGGCACTCCTAAAGGCAAGTTTTCTCCCCATCCCCCCGCCCTTCCCCCGCCCATTTCTCTTCACCTCGTGTACTTCTAACAAACGATGTGAGAAATGGCGGGGAAAAGCATGGTTTGAATAGGCCTAAATTTTGGGGGTGGGGCTTAATTTCACCTCATGCCTAGAAATCATGCTGGGCCTTCCTATTGGTGGAGGCCGTATTGTTGGAGAAACACGGTATATCTGTATTAGTCACAACTTAAAATAGAATAACTTGATCAATCAATTTACTCACAGGCATTCCAGGCTTCCCAGGCTGACCACTTGATCCTTTTTTTCCAGTAGGACCCTAGAAATTTCAAAATAGTTATTAGTTCACAATCTATAAAACCTAACAATCAGTTAGGATTCTGAATTTTTCCACCATATTTTTTAGTATTTATTTATAAAATTTAAAAATCAATATGTGACAAATATATTGAAGTATTATTTAGAAATGAATTGCTTGTATTTGTTTCTTTGGAATTTGCTCAATACATCAAGCAGCGATGAATTATGCTACAATCCATATTTTCTCTCCAAACAGATTCAAGTGGATTTTTACTGTAGCCATGATCCAGAGAACGTCAATGCCTTGTAAGATTACAGATGCTTTACTTCAGCTCCCACTTTTCAAATAATGCTACATAACTGTTTTTCAAATGTACCAAAGTTTTAAAAACCTTCTAAGGGTTAGAGTAGAGACATGCTATTATGAACAATAATAAACTAAAAGATCTGCTTAGAAATCACAGTTTTGTTGTGTAGTTTTTTGGCCACTATAAACCTTGATTTGAGATCTGGCTTCTAGAGTAGATTTCCTTCCTTTTAAGAGCACAAAAGATTATCCAGGAAAACAAAGAAGTTAGTGTTTTCATCATCCAGTCCAAATCTTCCAAATTTGAAGCTAGATAAGAAATTACCCAGAGTTACTGCTGTTGTTCACTCTGAGCAGGCTTATCCTTAGGCAACAAATAGGAAATTTCATGCTGTCATTAAGTTTGGCCAATTCCTATTTGGAATATTTTTGGTTTTATTACAAAAGAGGCAGGTTCAACAATAAATCTCTGTGTTATACTAATAAAGTGATGTGTTTTATTATTTATAGTTATATTATTTGCATAATTGTTTTTTGTGTTATTTTTGCATTGTTTTACTTGCTTTGCCCTGCTGTAATTTTTATATCTAAGTTAAATTTATTCTTCCTTTTATCTATTTTTCCACTGTCAATCCTTTTCACTTTTCTTCTTCCTTTAGCTGCACTTGAATACTAACATCTGCTGATCTGTATTGCCACTGGTTTGGTCTTTGTTGGCTCAACCTCATTCCATATCCTGTCCTAAGTTCTTACTTCCTAGATCCCTTTTCCTGGCTTTAAGTAGGGTATCACTGATGAACGGTATTCAGGCTGGGGCAGTTTAAAAACAGAGGTGGTGGCAGTGCTCTAGGCAAGGGGTGTCTCTCCTATTTATCCAGTCACAGGGATTCATTGAGGTAAGTTGGGTACATGGGGAAAGCAATATGTGTGAGTCATTATGTAAATGATGCCATAACTCATTCTTCTCATTTTGACATCATCATGGCTTATTCTGGATGTAGTTTCACTCAGTATTGTTTATATCACCCTAAGTTCTAGGGATGAGAATAGACTTGCAACGTAGCAACTAACGTAACAAATAAAGTCTTTGTAGACTTTAAAGCAGGGGTCCCCAAACCCTGGGCTGGGGACCAGTACCGGTCTGTGGCCCGTTGGGAACCAGGCTACACAAGCAGCAGGGCAAGTGTGCAAAGCTTTATTTGCACAAGCGCAGTATTAGGTTACGCATGCAAAACCATCCCCTGCCCTCCCTCTTCCCTCACTGCTGCCCCCACTGCCAGTCTGTAGAGCCAAAAAGATTGGGGACTGCTGCTTTAAATCATTGAATAACTTTATTTTGAACTTTTCCCCTAACTTTCTACTTACTTGAGATCCTCTTTCTCCTTTTGGTCCTTGCTCACCCTGTTCACCTGGCTCACCCTTTGGAAAAAGAAAACAACAATATAGATAATGTTTGTATGATATCAAACCTGAGGATAAATGGAGATTTTCTCACCTGTTTTGAAAAAAAGTGCAGAATTACAATGTACTTTATTAGAGACTTACTGGTGGTCCTTGTTGTCCAATAGCACCTCTCAGTCCTGGAAGTCCTGTGTGACCCTAGAAACAAGAGAAACTATTCTTGATTAAGGAAGTTTCCATTTCTTTCAACTGTGTAAAATGCTAAGTCTCGTTTTAATTAACTGATGTTACTATGGCGCAAGAAAGCAGCACCTCACTGAGATGAATTTCAGATATATCTTGTTACAAGAGAAGAGTGCAGTACAAATCAAAAGGCAAACAATGCCGTTCAAAGGGGGTGTTATTACAAATACACATACACACTCATATTCTTTGATGTAGTATGTTAAGATCTATTTACACACATATTACCTTACACTTTAGCGTACAAAACATTTGTGTCTCTTATTCCAATGTATTTTTTAAAATCTTTTATGCCATTTTTGCTTGTTGATAAGTCTAAAATCTATTTTTCTAGATGCCTTATGGTATCTGCAAGATCTTGCTGCTTTTATTAAATGGATGGAACTCACTTTGCAGCATATGTTCTGTCCTCTTTTGCTATGAGGATGATGTGAAATCCAAGCCTTTTTCTAGTTCAAGTTCTGTATGATGCTAACATGTATATCAGGGATGTCAAACTCATGGCCCACGGGCCAGATGTACCATGCACTGGCCATGCCCATCCCTGGTTTAACAAAGGGGGAAAAGTTGCAATGCATCACATGACAATGTGTCATTGTGAGTTTGACACCCCTGATGTATATGATATTGATTATCAAAAGAAAAACAAAGAAGTTTTAACCTTATTTATTTCCCAGTTCCCAAATCTTTTTATTCAGTTTCCAAGTGTTCATTCTGATAAATTGATCCTGAATTCTCTTGAGGGTTTAGTTTTATGTACAATTAGCTGTTATGCTTTCCTAGTTTTCTCCAATTATCAATGTTTATTCTGAATTTATTTTTAAAATGTATTCAGATACGTGTACAAGGGAGCCATGTTGCTGTACGTTCACTATAAGTAACATGTACATAAACACCAAAATAAGTTTTACCATGTAACCTATGTCACCAGGTTCTCCTCTTTCTCCCCGTTCACCAGTAGGACCCTAGAGAAATGACCATAAAGAATCCAGACTGTTTAAAATTTCATTTGAAATACATTTGAATTACTGCATTTTTCCCCAAAATAGCATATCTCAGGGGGAAAAGGAAAGAAAAACAAGATGTTAGCAAATTCCAAAACACTGCAAAGCATCATTGAAATTAAATTTGTTATTAGTTCTACAGAGCTGAAAGAATATATAACCACACAAGTTAAAGTGCTATCTAAAAATACTTAGGTTTAGAATCATTCATGCTCAAACCTAAACATTTCAAACTCAAAAGTAGAATGGGTTAGGGTTTTTACAGTAGATGCTAAAAAGTTTAAAGAAATGACTCCTCATAATAATAATTTTAATTTACGTAGAATGTTAAATCAATTGATTCACATTATTTCATACAATATATTTCTACTGTCTAACATCTTTATATACAGAGTAATATTATCTGCATATAAATGGATAGCCAAAACCTTTAATGGATTAGTTAAATCCCTTCATGCATTTACTAGTTCCTACATCAATAAGATAATTCCTGTTTCTTCAGTATTTTCCTTTATTATTTTCAGTGAAGACTGAAAATCAACAGTGTGTATAATATTACTACTAACCTCTAAACCATAGTCTAAGAATCATGGGGTTGCATCAATAGGGTGTAGTACACGTACAAGCATACACATGCACATTTTAAAACAAATTGTATCTGTTTATACAATGTTGACTGTAATTTTCTTGCTAAAGAAAGACCTACTGGTTCACCTCGGGGCCCAGGTGGTCCTAGCATTGAGCTGTCTTCCCCAGGGTAACCCTATAAAGAAAAGAAAATCACTTGTTTATTGTGCATGAAGTCTAATTTTTTTGTAAAATACATAAATTATACATACTTTCCTTCTTTAGTATATGGGTATAACACACATACTAACATAAAACATTGTTCAATTTATATAATGGATTGAGTGTCAGCTATGGAATTCATTGCTGCCACATAGTTGGAGAAAGTGGGAGGAGGGTGATGTTAATTGAATAGCTCTTAGTAGACAAAATATAATTATTTTGATAGTTCAAGGTTACAGGGTGTGGCACAGAAAGAATTAGAACTTACTTTGGGATTGGTTCATGTGATGTGGTGATGAGGGAAAAGGGGATGGTTTGTAGGTTGGGACTTTGTGAGGAAGCCAGGAAGCTTTATTTCCGGAATTCCTCAGAAGGTGCCAGGTGCTATTCTAATAAAAGTACTTTGAAATGACGTGAGTTACTGACAGGAATGGATTTCCCCTGGAACTCTGACATTGAGTTTTTGACAGCAATCATAACTTTTTGTTTTGAAGAACTATGAAGCAACGCGTTCAGTTACCTGCAATACAATTTATGTGTGTCTATTCAAAAGTAAATCCCATTAAGATTGAAGAAACTTATTTTCAGTAGCATACATTTTCTAATTTGTAAAATTCTTTGATGTAGAATGTTAAGACCTATTTACACTATTAATAAAAAAAGTTAGCTTAGTTTTTTTGTTAACACTGATTAAATGTATTTTGTAAAGTCATAATTTCCTTATACAACAGATAAAAATATGTTCAGCAACAGTTGCTTTTGTTAGCTAAATGCTAGTTTTGAGTCTAAAATACTAAATCTTTGTTAGCAGAAAAATCAGCTTCAGAGTTCCATATGCTTTCCAAGTATAGCTGCTTTATCATTAAAGTCAATGTGTAAAGGTACATTTATATTTACACCCCTTCAAAAAGCCGCATTCTTTGAAGCTACATGTTTTCTTTTAATGTGGGGATTTTATCAAAGATCCACAGAAATGTATGAAGTTTTTAAAAAGGTAGGAGTTGCCTATGCAACTTGAAAATACCATGCCAGCAAGCAGGTGATTGAAGTTTGCAGAAGACAATCTGGAATGGAAACACCAGGATCAATTTTAAAAGATTTGGGGCTTTAAAACTCCAAACAATTCAGACTAGAGTATCTGAAGCTTACCGGGAACTAAATGAAAGATAGTTCCCAGTAATCAAATTTAGAAATTATATGAACTGCTTCATTTCAAGTAGATATCAGGATGATAAGTATTACAAAATTGCTCACAAATTCTTACTCTAGAACAAGGGTCTCCAACCTTGGCAACTTTAAGACTTGTGGACTTCAACTTCCAGAATTCCTCAGCCAGCTGAAGTCCACAAATCTGAAGTCCACAAAAGTTGCCAAGGCTGGAGACCCCTTTCTAGAAAATACAAAATTATCTGTACTTCACTCAAAACAGTTTTTCATTTCAAGGAGGAAGGAATGACAATTGTGTGACATTTTTATATCATGTATCTAATGGAATTTTCTAAATACTACCTTTTGAGTGCAATATGGTCTAAAACAGTGGTTCTGAACCTTTTATTGAACACATCTTTTATGGCCATGGAACATGGTCACGGACCCCCAAAACTTAAATCAAGATTTAATATTTCTTCAAGCCTTTACAGACACCCTGTAACATCACTTCCGCCAGGGGTCTGCGGATCATAGGTTGAGAACCACTGGTCTAAAGATATTTGAAAAATCTCTTAAAAACTGTTATAAGGTACTGTGTTTCTGATTTATAGAGTCAGTTTGATGTAGTTAAGGCATTAGGCTAGAAACCGGGAGACCTTGGGTTCTAGTCCTGCCTTGGGCATGAATCCAGAGAGTGACCTTGTGCCAGTCACTTTCTCTCAGCCCCAGGAAGGAGTCAATGGCAAATAACTTTTGAAAAATCTTGCCAAGAAAACTGAGAGACTTGTCCAAGTGGTTTCTGAGAATCTGACATGATCGAATGGAGGGGAAAAAACCACACACCCTGATTTACAAGGTTTGATGGTAATGGTTTCTACTAGTACAGCATCAAACAACAGGGATATCATGAGAAATTGAATACTGGTGACCAAGCCTACTTATTACTTTGCAAGATAAATGAAAGCAATGATCTATTCACCTTGCAGTTGGATGCCCTCCTAACTTTTCATGGGCAGTAATTACACAGTCAGATAAAGTTGACAGCTTTAGACTTCCAATGCTATGTTATTTGTTGCAGTAAATGATTAAATGATGAAATTTATCAAATTCTTCAGTTTATATTTGTAATGGAATGAGAAAAATTAAGGCTCATGCAACAATGCAGACAAAATCTGTGAATCTTCATGGTTGCTAGCCAACAGAAATTTGTCAGTAAATACAACAGTTCATTTTTTCCTTACTTTCTCTCCTTTGGGTCCTGGAGGGCCAAGTGCTCCTGGCGGACCTTGGTGACCCTAAGAAAAATATGTATCAGGCAATATCTGCAGTTACAAAAAAAAAACCACAAGTAACAGAAGAAAAGTAACAAATATTTTCTGTATAGAGTGATAAAAATAATACCATGATTCTCCAACAATACGCCCCCCCTCAATAGGAAGACCCAGCATGTTTTCTAGGCATAAAATGAAATTAAGCCCCTCCCCCCAAATTTAGGCCTATTTTAAAACATGTAAAATTGGGGGGGGGAGAAGGTGGGGGGAACTTGCCATAAAGAGTGCCCCACAGGCAGCTACGCCTCACCATCAGCCGCTCCTAACAGCCGATCATGGCGGAGCACAGAGGGCTCCCTACCCCTGCCAAGCGCCTTTGCTGCAGACCCGGGTCAGCAGGCGGGCGGTGTCAGCGTGGATGTCCGCCAGCAGCGTTTCAGCTGCTTCTCAGACCTCCGTAGCTTCCACGGTTTTCACCAGTGCTGGTGCCTCTCTCCCCAGTGACATCTCCAACAACAACGTCTGAGTCACTCCCGCAGCGCCGAGAACCGTGGAAGCGTTTCAGCCACTTCTCGGGTGGGGGAGCTGCCTCTGTAACTTCCACGATTCCTGGCACTGCTGCCGCTGTTGTTGGAGACGGCGCTGGCGAGAGAGGGACAGCTGCAGCTCGGCCTGGGCGTGCTTGGAATGCAGGAATGGGCTGTGAACTGGGACTTTTGGAAACTTGCAGAGCCGGAGGCTGCCGCATCAAGGGTAGCAGCAGTGGAGACGCTCACTCGGCTCTTCTCACCGCTCAGGATTAAACCAAAACGCAGCGCGCGGCCCTCCCAAGTAACTCAAAATCTTTTTTTTCCTGTTGTTACGATGGGGGAAAAGCGGGAGCGACTCAGGCGCTGTTGTTGGAGACAGCACTGGCAAGAGAGGCACCAGCACCAATGGGAACCGTGGAAGCTACGGAGGCCTGAGAAGCAGTGAAACGCTGCCGGTGGACATCCACACCGACGCTGCCCGCCTGCTGACCCGGGTCTGCAGTAAAGGCGCTTGGCGGGGGTAGGGAGCGCTCCGCCATGATTGGCCGTTAGGAGTGGCTGGTGGAGAGGTGTAGCTGCCTGCTGGGCGCCATTTTTTCGGGGCTCAAAAACAAATAAGACCCGACCTTATTATATGAGAAACACGGTAATAATGACTTGTATAATCGGAGTTGCCTAGTGGTAAGATGGGAGGCAAATAAATTTAATTAATAAATTAAATAAATCTACCTGGACAGTTTTTTTTCAAGGCTGAGGGAAATTGAGCAATTGGCATAAAATTATTGATGTTTCATACAGTTATATATGTATCTATTTACTTATCCAATTTATATAGCCACCTAACACACCAAGCAAGTGACTTTGGGGGTACACAACAAAATTAAATAGTCAATAAATACTTAAAACCATTATAATTATTAATTATCAAAACATTAAAACCATAAAAAGGACTATAAAAACAGAGCAAGAAGAAATAGCAGAGAAGGGGTTGTTAATGATTATGGAGCCACCTAATTAGTTAATCTATTCCTTGGAGGCCCTAGGCCTGCTGGCCTAACAAGGATTTAAGGGATTTTTGGAACTTGGAAGAGTTCTCTTAACTTCAGTTCAGAGAAATTACACAGAACAGATATCACAGCAGGAAAGGCCCACCACCCTGCCAAATCTAGTTCCCTTGCTAATGCTGGTGAGGGTTTAAAAAAATCTAAACATTTCTGAGAAATATTCTGAAAAATACTATAATCTATTATTTCCACAGCTGTTTTCAAATGGATACAGTTGTATAATTGTAGAAAACTAAAGATGCTTTAAAAAAGTATGGGCTAGCAATATCAAGAAGTTTAAGAAATATGCAATCAATTAAACAATAGCCAATCGCCGACCATCAGTATGTAATCAACCAATAGGAAGGCACCACATAAATACATATTCCAATAGAAAGAAATTCCCTGAAGATGGGCTCCAGCACGAGTCCAAAAATTCAGAAGAGTAAACCTCTAGTCCTGGTGACTGACCCAGATTGGATCTTGCAACATTATATTTGCTTTCATTCAATAGATAACAATTATCATAAAATTAATAGAATAGTTGGATAGGCCCATAAACACATTTCAGAAAGGTATCATACCCCATAACCTGGAATTCCTGGTTTTCCTGCTGATCCCATTGCTCCTAAATGTCCCTGTACAAGGGGAAGTAGCAATTAACATATTTTAATACTTTAATAATCTTATTAGCCAAGCTATCAGTTCACATAATACTTCTAATTGGAAATATTCACAAAGCATGGAAATAGTTACCTACTGGAAGTAAGACAGTTGAAATATGCTTAATCCTAATTAAAACCATAAGTATTCTTTTTAAAAAGTAATGCTAAACAAGCTTGTGATATATTAAATAAATATAACTGAATCAGATTATAATAAATACAAGGGGAAATCTTGTCTCTTAAAAAGTACGCAATCAGTTTTAAAATCAATTAAAAAATTGTGCAAGTTAGTGAACTCAAGAGAGGAAATTCTACTGTCTACTCAGAACCGCCATTCTGTCTCAGCCTCTTTGAGTAGCTGTTAATAGAAGGAAAGGGAATATATATATATATATATATATATATATGAAAACAAATATATATAAATATATATAAATATATAAATATACAAATATACAAATATATATGTTTTCTGAGGTTTTCACGGGTATTTGGATGTGGATCTTTGGTTATTTGGGTTTTCTCCCGCATAAAATTGGAAGTATCTAGGCGACGTTTCGATGAAGTCTCATTCATCATCTGCAGGCTTGTGTCTTCGGCTTTGTGCTTCTCGGAATAATGTGAGCTTGCAGCTGCTTCTTCCTTTTAACTGCTCGTGGGGGTGTGACTTGATTGGGTGGGGGCTTGGCTGTGTTCTGATTGGCTGGGGGTGTGAGAACACCCAAATAACCAAAGATCCATATATATATGTATGTATGTATGTATGTATGTATGTGGAGGGAGGGAGGGATCGAGGGAGGGAGACAGAGAACTCGACATGACCATAAAGGAACCTGCCCATTTATTATCATGATTTTCATGAAGTAGGTCAACACGTGACCAACCTGGTTTTATGATCTTTTTTTTTTATAGAAGGCATTAAGCGAATCACCATGGTCATTAAATCTACAGTTGTTCAGTGAACATTGTGTTTATTAAGCGAACTCATGAAGAGGCACAATTATGATTATATAGCAAGCAAATAGTACAGATTAACAGTCCAGATTTTGAAAGTGGCTTCTATATAGTAATATAAAAATTGTTACTTAAAAATAAGTTACTCAGCATTCTTACCCATTTTGTCTAAATATCAACAAAGGCGATTGACAGGGTTAACCTGTTAAACATCTGTTTAATGATTTATTATGGATGCTGTGAATTTTAGACAATTCACAAATCCAGACAAATCAATCAGCTTTAAACAGGCTCTTCACTTGCATCAAAGTTCCTATAAAACTACACAGGATTATAAAGTTTAAATTAATACTATACCAACCACGGGTCCTCTAGTTCCTCTTGAACCCTTTGGACCAATTTCTCCAGGCTTGCCAGGTTCACCTGTAGCTCCGATTTCTCCAGGGAAGCCATGCTGACCCTTTTCTCCCTATTTGAGAGGAGAATAAAATGGATAAATACATTATGCCAATTGAAAATCATATTGGGAAGCCAATATAGGTACAGGTAGTTACTATGATAACAACTGGGACCAGAATCCAGCAATTGGGACATTACATGACTGGTTTGCTCAATGACCGTAATCTTGGTACTTAAGGTTGTGTGTTATCTTCTGGGTTATTAAGTGGACAGAGAAACAGGTGAAGAGTGTTGGGTGCCTTACGGTGGGTGAAGTAGGCCCTGGGAGGCCCGATGCAAGCCAGGAACAAGTGTTTCCACCCAGAAGCTGAAAATCGTTCATGTGCAAGCAGACAGGCAAGATTTCAGCTCCATACAAGCAGGCAAGGAGCTGAAAAACCTTCAGCAGGCAGTTCTTTTCTCCAGTTCCCAGAGACAAGAGGGAGCGTTCTTGGCAGCAGCAACAGAGTTTGCAATCTTCCCTACTAACTTCCCTATGGAAAGCTGGCTTTCATGACTTTCTATGGAAGTTGGCAGAGAAGACTACAAATGGTGAACACATGATTGCGGGCTGCTTGACTAGTCATCCGTGAGAACAGGTTTCCAAGCATCCAAATCATGATTACTTGATAATGTGGAGTGGGGTTGATGCAATGTTTTGCAATAGGCAGAAGTGCTTTGCAGGTCGCAAAGCACCCTCTCTGAGGCCATTGTTAATTTGAACTGTTGTTAAGGGAACAATATAAGTCAAAGACTACCTGTAATAACAAAAAATATTTGTTGTTCTATTCTTAAAATTGAACGGCATGGTGGCCTAGTGATAAAGATGCTCAGAAGGTTGAGAGTTCAAACCTAGGTAGCGGCAGATATTTTTCTTTCAGGGTACAAAGAGAAAATATCTGCTGTGAATTCCATGTAGGCATCGGGAAGGGCATCTGGCCAGTAAATGCTCAGCTCCACTCAGTTGCCCCAACTCTTCCCCAAATTAAGGGATTACAGAGTTATATATATATATATATATATATATATATATATATATATATATATGTATGTATGTATGTATGTATGTATGTATGTGTATGTGTATGTGTATATGTGTATATATGTATATATGTGTGTGTGTATATATATATATGTATGTATGTATGTATGTATGTATGTATGTATGTATGTATGTATGTATGTATGTATTCTGAGGTTCTCGCGGGTATTTGTATGTGGATCTTTGGTTATTCGGGTTTTTTCCTGCGTAAGATTGGAAGTATTTTGGCAACGTTTCGACGAAGTCTCATTCATCATCTTCAGGCTTGTGTCTTCGGCTCTGTGCTTCTTGGAGTAAGAACTTACTCCAAGAAGCACAAAGCCGAAGGCACAAGCCTGAAGATGACGAATGAGATTTCGTCAAAACGTCACCAAAATACTTCCAATTTTACGCGGGAGAAAACCCGAATAACCAAAGATATCTATCTATCTATCTATCTATTCTTAAAACTAGCACTTTTTTCTTTTTATGACCCTGTAATCCCTTAATTTAGGGTAGAATTGGGGCAACAGGATGGAGCTGAGTATTTAATGGTTGGATGCCCTTCCTGATGCCTAAATTTAATTTATAGCAGATATTTTCTCTTTGCACCCTGAGAAAGAAGCATCTGCCACAACCTAAGATTGAATTCTCAACCTTCCAAATGGAAGGTGACTGTCCTCACCACCAGGCCACCACGTCACTCTACTCTTAAAATGAGCAATATTTATTAATATTGAATCCTTAATGAAAAATAATTTGCTTTCTGTCCAAATTCAAGATAAAAAAGGGAAGACCACTTACCTTCTTTCCTGGACGACCCCTTTGACCTGGACTTCCTTGAGTTCCCTCAGGACCCTACAGTAGTTAACATAAAGGGAGATAAATCTGAGGCCACATTTGTTGATTTACTCTCAGTTAAAGATGAAGAGTTATCAAATCCAGCACTGGGTCTTGCCAGGTGTTCCATGAATATCTTTATCCAGCAGTTTTGTGTAGATATTAAATAGAACTGGAGAGAGTTAAACCTTTAAACACCCTCCCCCAAATAAAAGAAGCCTCTTTCCCTCACCCAGACAAACTGGAAGTAGTCTCAGAAAAGAAGACAACAATCACAGCAGAATAGTGCTGCCCATTCCAAGTTCCAAAAGTCAGTACAGAAGGTTATCATGGTCAATGGTATCAAAAGGTACTGAGAGATCTTAGAAAGTCAGAAATGGATGCATCATCCTTCTCTTAAGCCTTTTAGAGTCATCAACAAGTGCAACAATGCAGTATCAGTATATTAACTCAGGTAGAATCTTGACTGGAAAAGGTCCAGATAATACACTTCCTTTCGGGCTGCCAGAAGCGATCCACTTACCATCATCTTCATGTCCCTTGGCTGTAAAGGACTAAGTGAGGGAAAATATGAATCTGAAAACATAGAGTTATTACTTATTCAGGTGAGTGGTTTGCAGGATTTGGGAGATATCACTTATCTGAACAGGTAACTCCTGATCAGGTTCATACCTTGGGAAGTATCCCAGACACTGGTGTGAGAGAAGCTTATCTTTTAGTAATAAGCTAAATATTACTAGAACAAAGAGACCTAGTATTGGTGATTGAGGCCCTTTTGATGAAATGCCCTTGAAAGATAGTTTGGAAAGTGGAATCAGTGGTGAGTGGTGCTTCAGAAAGGATAGCATCATCTCCGTATTGAAACAGTTTTCTAAGCTTAGTCCAAGCTATTTACCATGGCTTACAAACTCCTATGGAACTCTGTCCAAATTATTTGCAGTAGCACTGATTTTACTCAGTCCAACTTTTCCCAACCTTTTATGTGATAGGATCTAGTGCAGGCCCGTCAAACTAGCGGCCTATGGGCTGGATACGTCACGCGGAGGGCAAAGGCAAAAATGTCGCAATGTCACAATCCGGCCTGTGACGCGATAAGAGTTTGACACTCGTGATCTAGTCAATGGAACTATCTTGTGCTGAAGCAGTGTTGGATGCGTTTAGAAACATTTCTTTTCATCCAGACTTTTTAGATGCCCTTTTTTAAGCTGGAGTTTTAGTTATTTTTATTCTGACTGATTGTTTGTATTTGGGTAGAGCCAAAATTAGGAATGAAGAACATTTTTAAACACATGCGCACATATGTACATAGACACCAGCTTGATTTACTTATTTTTCCCTCTGAAACAATATGAAGCGGCAGATGGCTATTGTCTCTCTGCATTTCCAAGAATCCAATAAAACTGATCCTCCTCAAAGCCAAAGAGTTACAGCCTAAAACTGGATCCATACTTCCTGGATAAATATATTCATAATTGTCTGCCTTTTCCCAACCATATGGCAGGATCCACACAGTAAAAAAAAAAAAAAAACTCACTGAAAATCTCCTATTTGGGGGATTTTTTAAAGCCATGTTGAATTTTTTTTGATAACATGCATTTTGAAGTATATTTCATTTCTCACTCATACTACCAGATTTTCATGGCTATACTTAATTTTGCATCAGACAGAAACTGATGACTATCATATTAGAAAAAACAAATACTGCAGCAAATAATAAGTAAAAAATGTTTCCAGCAGACACATTTTCCTAAAAAATTAATGGCTGGATTAGAGTCGATAGTTGCTTCACAAGAAAACTCTGTATTGAGCCCCTTGCTACAATAAACAAACAAACAAAGTATGCAGCTAGATAAGGGTTTTTTTTAGTTTTTTCTCTGCAATAGTTTACTCAAAGCAAGCACAGCAGAATGTTTCTGGTTTTTATTAAACTGCGTCAGATCCTGAGATATCAGCCAAACTTACTGACAAATTAGATGAGGTACCACTTCAACAGCTATAAATCAGATGGATGGTTGTTAAAAATCAAATGGAAAATACAGGATTGTTTCCTGGATCACAATTTTGTCTTGTAGAGGGGGAAAACTTTTGGGCCCTACAGGTCCCATTCAATTGCTTTATCTCCAAATGCAAACAGTTGGCACAAATCATCTATAGATAAGCCTTGACATATGACCTTAATAGAACCTGGACTTTCTGTTGTATGTCATGATGATCATAAATCAAGGCACCCATGTTTACAACATGATTTTACAACATTTTTTGCAGCAATTCGTTAAACAAATGTGGCGGTTGTTAAGTGAATGTTGCATTGTCTGCAATGTACAGTTTTTGTTGAAAACCCATAGTAAATGCCAGTAAAAAACATATGCTATAAACCAGCGGTCGCCAACCAGTGGTCCATGAGAAAATTTTGGTGGGCCACAGAGAAATCTCACCCCCAGAGCACCCCCACAAAGCAATTAATCCAGGCTGCATAGAAACACAAGGCTGCGCCACCCACGTGGCCCATGGGAACCCTCCCTGCCCACTCATTCCTTACCCAGCAAACTTGCCTGCTAAATTGCTATTTTTCCTTTTTCCGACCATCAGCTGTTCTGCTTTGCTTGGAGATTTAGATAAGCTAGGATGCAGGAAATGGTTGGATTTCTTGCTTTCTAGTTAGTCTTTAGATCTTCGGCTCTGCTTTTAAGTACAGCCAAACCTCCCTTAGGACTGAAGGTTCTATTATTCCGTGCAAACTCATGGCAAGCAAATTTTATGTGACAGACTCAGATAGCCGATGGCAGATAGATAGATCACTGAATGATTCTGTGAGCAACTCAATCTGCCTGTCTGCTTTGCCTGATTTTGGGTAAAAGTTGCTCTTTTTTAATAAAAAAATCAATATTTATATAAATATTTATAATATTTACATATAAGCCATGCCCAGCCAGTCACATGACCCACCAAGCCACACCCACAAATTAGGTCACACCCACAAAACTGGTTAGTGGTCCCTGGGATTTAAAATTATGAGTTTGGTGGTCCCTGAGGTCCAAAAGGTTGGCGACCCCTGCTATAAACAACAATAAATGCAGGCCAGTTGCAGAGCACACAAAATGCAATCATGTGACAGAAGGGGGAGAGCAACCATTGGAACTTCAAATCCTAGTTGCAAATGCCTTTATTAGGGGTGGGTGGTGGTGGTCCATCATAACTTTAAACATTTGCTAACCTGGTCATAAGTTGAGGACTATCTATACTGAAAACTCCAACATAGGTTACCCACTATTTGAATCTACATCCAGATGGTTTCCTCAGCCAAAAACTCCAATATTTTTTAAGCCACTGATACAATTTCTAATTGTTTAACTAGTGTTTCATTTAATTTGACCCTAAATCTATTTATTTGTTATACCCTGACTTTCTTCCAGATTAGGAAGAAACAGCAACTGGTTCAAAGACACTCATGACTTCCATGGCTAAGAATGGGCTTAAACCTGTTTCCAAGATATAATTTTTATAACAAATTATTTTTATAACATATTGCCATTTTGGAAATAATGGAATAGTATGGACCAGCTCTGGGAAACTAACCAAAAGAGAAATCAAGGAGACAATTTTTGTGGGTAAAGACGAGACCTTACACCAAACACATTCTTTATTATGGAAAGTTTTATTTTGAATATTTTCTTTGATAGTTCTTGCACGTAATTGTGATCCATTATAATGTGTGTTTTTATGCATATATCTTTTCTCATATCATTCCTGTTCACAGTTAATTTTAAAAGAAACATTTAAAAAAGAATTGGTGCCACTCTTACTATGTTTTTCACTTTCCACACATCTTATGTCTGGTTTTTTTTTTATTATCCCTGAGAATAAAGGTGAGATATAAATGTTTTAAACCCATAAACCAATCAATAATATTTCACAAAAATTAGAAATGGACAATAGCTGATACAGTTTGTAGACAGAATCGTTATTTGACTTTTTCTTTATAATAGAAAACATAAGCATGAACATTATGCATCATGTTAGGTAACATACTACAATGGTGACATAATCACTGATGCTTCTTACATAAAAAGCTCTTATTGTAGAGGCCAAAAATTGTGATAAAACTATCATTTCAAGATTTTAAAAAAATCTTTTAAAGCCCTACTTAAAGTTTTGAAGCCTAACACTTGATATGTCTGCCTACATAACATTCTGTGCATATATTGAGTGTCATAGATTTATGGTATCTCAATCAGAAATGCAAAACTAAGAAAACTCGAACAACAAAACGAATGCTCCTGTTTTATAATCTCAAGTCGTTATATGACCTACATAAATGTCAAAAATAATCAATTCCATATTCTTACTATGCCAGAAAATAAAATTAATCATTGCTGTTTGAAGAGAGAACCCCATCCAAAAACAGTTCATATGGAATCAGAAATTTGTTTCATAATTTTAGTCATGCCTTTCAAATCTTTTAAGGGAAATATTCTCTGTGTAAGGGTGGCCTTTACTTAAATGTAATAAGTTTCAAAAAAAAATTCCATTATCTTTTGTTTTGAAAAATGTATTTTCTATTATTCAGATCATGATATTTATTTCTCCAATTTCATTCTTCCAGATAATGCTGCAATTTTGACAGTGACCGTATTGTGTGATATATTCCTAATTTAGTAGCACAAATGACTTCACAGCTTATGAACAGTGTATTTTCATTTTATGAACCTTTAGGACACCTTTAGTTGGGTAAATTATTAAGGCTAAGATTCTTCAGAATAATTGGGTTTAAATTTTTGTTAAATTCTGAGTTTACTTACTGGACTGCCTCTGATTCCAGGTTCACCTGGAGGGCCAGTAGGCCCGGGAATTCCAATTTTTCCTTTTTCACCATCTTCTCCAGGAAGGCCAGGGTCTCCTAAACTGCCCTAAAGCAGAGATATAAATAAAAAGCATCAAGTAGGAAAGCATTAAATTACTGAACATTATAGTTATGCAACAAGGGCTTGGTAAAATGTTTTCTTCACGTAGGTCTAGAATAGGGATAAGGAGTAACACATATGTATAACAAGTATGGCATCAAGAACATCATTTCCATGTAATACATCTGCAAAATGTACTTCAGTTTTGCCGTATCTTTGATGGTAAAGCCTGTTTTTCGGCCTCTAAAGGCTGCAGAGGCTTTCCTCAAGCCCCCGGGAAAGCGAAAACGGCCTCCCCCGGGCTCCAGAGGCCCGCCAAAGGCTGAAAACGAGCATTTCCAGTATTTCCAGAAGGCCTGTTTTTCGGCCTCCCTAGGCTTCAGAGGCTTTTCTCGAGCCTCCGGGAGGGTGAAAACTGCCTCAAACAGCCCAAAAATTAGGTGGGAGGCACACGCATGCACAGTGCAGGTAAGTTTGGCTGGGGCTCGTGTACCCGCACAAATGGCTGTGTGCCACCTGTGGCACACGTGCCATAGATTTGCCATCACAGGATTAGGAAGTTCAAAAATATCTTGGAGGAACACAGTTACAAATCATTTCTCTATGTCTGAATAGGAAATTGTTTAGTTTTGTCCAACTAGCAGCTGAGTTTGATTTGAGAGTCTTTCTATGAGAATTATAATATCAATAAATCTATAGACTATTTGAGATATATTTCACAATATGAGGAAGGATAGCATTAGGATACTTAAGCAGAATTAGTGTCATGCCCCTGTTGGAATCTGATTTGGAGGGGGAGGCTGAGCAGCTGACAGGGAGTGGGACTGTAGCTCTGTTGGCTGTGAAAGAAACTGGGGAAGGGCAAAGGCTGGCTGGGCAGAGCAGGGGAGAGGTAGAGCAAAGGAGAGGGAATTTGGAGGAAGACCCAGGCCCTCCCCCTCTTCATCCTAGGGCACGCAGGGAAGAACAGAGAAGGGAGCAATGTGAGTTGCGGGGCTTACGGGAGAGGAAAGAGCCCTGATTCCCTTCATTAGCTGCAGCTGGGAACACAGTGTTTAAAAAAGGAAGCTGCTATTTGGGAGCAAATAATGAATTATCTGGTATTGTGGAGGCTTATCTGGGTTCCTGGCACCTTCCCAATTGTGTGTGTTTTGCTGGGCTTTCAAGTCTGCGATTCCTTCTCCTACCCTGTCAAGTTAATTACTGCAGCGTGGTTTGTGTGGATTTTTATTTACAGTTTGTATGTACTTTGTTTTCGGACTGAATTTCCTCCACTTAAAGACTATTCTTGGGAGAGTTTTTTCTCCAGCCGAAGGTAACTTGGACATTGGGGGGCAAAGTTGGAGGTACTATAGGGACACTTCTTGCTTATTCGACTGTGTTGCATTTGTGCCATGTCCCGGGTCATCACAATTAGTACTGAGAGATCAATTGAGTGCCTTTTGCTTCTCTGCTTTCTTCTAGCAAATGCAACTTCTCCTATGCAATCTTCCAACTTGAGAATATGCAATGCCGATGCAGCAGAAATGTTATGCACTGACTTAAAAGATAATTTAAATCACAGGAATCACAGAATAAAATGCAATAGTTATTTCATGTAAGTGTAATTTCTGATTTTAAAAAGTACCTTTAATCCATCTTTTCCTTGAACACCATCTTCTCCTGGTGGTCCTCGAATACCCTAGGTTTCAGAAGAAATATGTTAAAATGCTATTAGTACCAAAAATCTTCTGTATTCAAAACCCAAGCAAAAGTACATTATCTCAACAAAATAGCGAACAAATCCGACTAAAAGAGTCAAGGATTCAGCAGTTTTATTAATGGTGCCAGTACACAAAGATTTGCTGAATAGGATTAGATATTGTTATTATCACAGATTTGTCTTTTTCTTTAACCTTGGTCTGTCCGGCACTTCCAATATACCGAGATGCTGAAATCTATGCATTTGAAATGATTCACAATTAACTTTATTCTGAATCTAAATATGGTTCTGTTTTAATACTGAAGGACACAGCAGCTGTCACAAACAAGAAGTTGTCTGAAAGTGATATAAAACAAGCTGCGCTGAGCAAGCAACCAGAACAACGCTGTATGACAGGGAGATGTAGATTTAAGCTTCCTGATATTGGAGTGAATGTGTGTACAGGGAGGTAGAGGAAGATAAACTGGAAGATCAACTTTTAAAGGAGGGCTTAACAGACACTAAATAAATGGTACATTTCTGTAGCACTACCTCATATTTTTAATTTGACTTGAAAGGGAGTATCTTCACTGGCAACCAGAATATTCCTTTCACCTTTCTAAAACAGTTTAGCATTCTGGAGTTGACAATAAACCACAGTCTTTTATATTTTATACTTTTAGAAAAAACAGATAATATTTTATGGAAACTAAGACTACAAATCTATCTATCTATCTACCTACCTATCTGTTATATATCTGTATATAGATATACTCAAATCTCTCTTAATTGGTTTCTATTATATTTTCAAATGGATAGTTGTTATATGGTGCTTGTAAACGCAGTTCACATTAGAATCATATTATTGTCCTCATTAAAATGTAATTGCTGTGTCCTACTATAAAAAGGTAACAGATTAATACACTAAACATTTTCATGTAAAGAATCAGGAGTTTGCAACCTCTTAGGATTCATGACATTTTGAGATGTTCTAGATCAGAGGTGTCAAACTGGTGGCCCATGGGCCGGATGCGTCATGTGCAAGCCACGCCCACCCCAGCTCCATGACAGGGAAAAACATCATGAAACACCACATGATGGCAACGTGAGGCGGTGAGTTTGACACCTGTGTTCCAGATAAATTTGGAAATGGCAGTGAAATTGGAGGCTTACCCCTTCACAAAATCACTGCCACAGTTATATAATCATTTACAAGCTACCAATTTATCAGACTGTTATCTGTTGTGCTCTCTAGACCTCCCCCCTTGGAGGATGATCTGTTCCACTCTTGTTTACCTTTCCAATCTTCTGGTCAGGTAGCACATTTCGAAACAATTTTCTAACAGTACATCCAAACAAGTAAACACAATTCCCCAGTTGGCACTGTGATTTGACTTTGTATAGGTATGCTATGAAAAAAATTATAACAAAAATATACCAACCCTGAATGTTACAACCCCGTAACCTGCACTACTTCTGGGTTACTGCTTGAACTAGTGTTCTGACTTCAAGTTGTTATCTATTCTTTGAGTATTATTAATTTACTCAGTAATTGCAAATGTATATGCAAAACAAAGTTATGGACTATTAGAGGAAGCTTACCATCACGTTCAACATGAAAAATTTACTTCAGATAAACATATGCTGCAGCTCTTATAATTCAGATTATCTTGATCTATTGTCACTTTGTATCTATAGTAGACCTATTTGCTAATGTTTCAGAGTGAAATACGCAAAATAAAAGAAGTTACAAGATGGCAGATTTTGACTGTTATGGGAAACAAAAATCCTTTTCGGCAGCAATAGCAGTTCAATGTTGAAACCAATTAGCCAGACAAGTGATCATCTCCCTTTCACTGGATGCGTTTAAATTAAGGTTAGTTAGCCATAAGCCTGGAGTACTTTAACTTAGCCTGAATGCTAAGTTAAAGACTCCTCTCCAACTGTTCGATTCTAAATTAATAGAAGTTTATGAACCTTTAAGCTACATAATTAAAACATATTACATCTAATGTAAAGAAGTGCTAGAGGTGATATGAGAGCAATGTCCTAATATTTGAGGGGCTGCCACAAAGCACCTGAAGACAAAACAAGGAACAATGGATGGAAATTAATCAAGGAGAAAACCTAGGACTAAAGATAAATTTCCTGACAGTGAAAACAATCAGCCAGTGGAATGACTTGACTCCAGAAATTGTGGGAGATTTCTGGAGATTTAAAAAAAAAGATTGGAAAGCCATTTGTCTGAAGTGGTATAGGGTCTCCAGCTTGAGCAAGGGGTTGGATCATTAGAAGATCTCTAAGGTCCCTTATTTTTTCTTTCTGTAGTTTTAAATGTTTCTTTAAACAAACATGATCCTGATATAGCAAAGACTTTTTTCATTTCTTATCTGCTTTCCTAATTTACATAGCCCTTTGGCATTTCCAATATAATTCTGCCCCTTGTAACAAAATATGCTACAATATTCAGTACTTACTCTTATACCTTGTTCACCTGCTGCTCCAATATTGCCAACTGGTCCATAATCTCCCTGTTAAATGCAACAGAAATATATCACACTGAGTGAATATTATTCTGATCAAAGGACAAAACTCAAAGTTTGCTACAATAGATATCTAAAGTTTGCTCTTTATAAAATGAACTCATTTCTCAAGCATGAATTAATATTTATATTGTTTTTCACCACAAATAAAGAGCAAGTAGAAAGGCAGATATGTTACAAGTATTATAATGCATAGCTTTCTGCAAATACAAATGCCAACTATAGTGGAAAGATAAAGATGCCTAATTCTTAACTAAGCCAGACATAAACTTGTCAATCAAGTAATGATATAATATGAAGCTTCTCTACACAACCCTGAGGGCTAATTAACATAGCAGAGTTGAAACAAATGCTTACATAGTGGCCTTGAATTCCTTGATAACTGAACTCTAGTTTATAAAGATGAAGCAATGAGAGGAACAAGAACATTTGCTAGATCCTGAAGACCAACACTTGGATCTTCCTTCCTTCCTTCCTTCCTTCCTTCCTTCCTTCCTTCCTTCCTTCCTTCCTTCTAGTCATTTTTTTACTTGAAGGTTTCTGCTGCCCATTTCTTATTTATAAAATGTCTTTTTCTTTTTCTATTGCGAGAATAAGAGATTCCTGCATATGTATGTATGTATGTATGTATGTATGTATGTATGTATGTACCGTGTTTCTCATATAATAAGGCCGGGTCTTATTTTTTTGTGAGCCCCGAAAAAATGGCTAGGCCGTCTTTTCGGGGGTGACTTAATTCCCCCCCCCCCCTCTTGCATCTTCGGGCAGGCGGCGACAGCTTGGATGTTGACCTCGGCATTGGTGGGGCACTTCGTATCGGGGTCAATGCAGGCAGCACCATATCCGGGTGTGGAACCAAAGTACTTCCTAACGGCAAGCCCCCCCACCATTCCCCCCATTTTGCATATTTTAATATAGGCCTTAATTTGAGAGGAGGGGCTTAATTTCATTTCATGCCTATAAAACATGCTGGGACTTCCTATTGGGGGAGGCCGTATTGTTGGAGAAACAGGGTATGTATGTATGTAGCTTGCAGTTCCTATCCTAATTTCAGAAAGACTGACTGGCCATGCTCTATTTGTTGACTGGAAGGAGAAGCTGGGAAGGCTTGAGTAGTGTGAAACTATGAGTGTGAATTAGAAAATACTTGGACTTTTCTTCTCTGAATCCATATTTTCTGGTGTCACCAGGTTTCCTGTATATCTGTATCTATCTAAGTGTGACTCCTATGAACAGATGCAGAAATGACAACACCACCTAATGTTGAACCAATTTAACTGAAACATCATAGCAAGTTTCAGACAGAATGTTTCTAGTGGAAATAATAAATATTTCATGTATAGAGACTGCATATAAAAAGTATCATCAGGAAATATCCCAAAGATATGTGTAGAGAAATAACAGCCCGTTTTTCTCATCATTCAAACTGCACCCCAACAAAATTACTCCAACAATCACCTTTGTGCCTGGTTCTCCTTGTGGTCCAGGCTCTCCCTCTGGGCCAGGTGATCCCTGTATTGAAAAGATAAATGGAGTTATCCGTTGTCCAGTACTAAATGCTTTCCATCATGATGAAATTTACTAGGAGGTTCACAGGTCTAGGTCTTATTGGGGTGATGAATGAAATACTTGGTATAATATCTTTTTCTACTATGGTGCAATATTAAAGGCTAATATTAAATTTTTAAAGGCTTCTATACTTTTTACTTTGATGCAGCAGGATCTTCAGTTTTGCTTGTCTACATCATTTGGTGAGGTAAAAGACTCACCTCAGAGCCAGCTTCACCTACAGGACCAGCACCACCTTGTTCTCCCCTCGGTCCCTAGTATCAAACAAAAATTTATGTGAGCATTACATTCTTATTATGAAAAAAAAACCACTTATATACCTATAACATCAGCTGGCCAGTTTTTTGAAGACATTTTTCTCACAGCTGGATATTTCCCTTTTTCCAGGTTCCATTACCTTCTGAGAGTAGAATAATTTAATATGGTCCCCACTCTTAAAGAGGATTTGTTGCAACAGTCCAATCATCATCAGGCAATGGAATATTTCTCAAGGCTTCTTATTAGGCATAACATTACATTTGAACCCTCAAAAACATGTAGCTCCCTATTCAATAACATGCCCACAGCACAAGTTTAGAGACATGACACAGCTGCATTACAGAGAAGAATGTAGTTATATAGATGTAGAAGCTCTATTCTCACATAACTCAATCTGTCTATATATCTCTATGATCTAGGATTTAACTTCTAGGCTTTCCTCCTGTCTCTAACAACAAACTTGACCATTCTCTGTAGATTGGGTGGTATCCATTCAGTGATGATTTCATAATTCTATATGATCTGCAAATTATCTTGCCAACTTCCTTCATTTTTACACCATTCATGGAAAGGATATAACTTGGTGGATTCATGGACTTCTGGACTACAGTATCAAGAAATAATGAAAGATAATAATGCCCCATGGGAAGGCTCTGAAGCATGTTTTCAGAAGCCTATGATAAGTGTAGAATTTATTTTAAAAAATCAGTCATATTTGAAAGAATAGCCTCCGAATAAAAGTTGATGTCTACTAAACTTGGGATTTCTGGCAATGCCTTGAAATTTCCAGTTTTGAAGTCCACAACACTGCTTCTGATACACAAAATCAGCAAAATCAGGAACTCTGCTAGATAAGCTCCGGCAATATCTACCTGACCTTCTCTTGGATCAAACAATAAGTGGATTTAGGCTTGGCTTGTTCTTGGATTGGGGGCTATATGGATATACTATAACTAGGACATAGCTTGGATTTAAAAAAAATCTCAAAGATAGCAAAGGCATACCACTTCCTTAGTATTCCCAAAACTGGTGACTGCAAGCATGGATATATCTCTGTAATCACCAGGAGCTGGCCTTGATTTAAATGAGACTTCATTTAGTTTAATATATTGATTTTATTACAAATTTCATATTCTTCTTGCTTCATGGCTCTGTAATTTCAACCAGTTTTTGTAAATACATTTGAAAGAGGCCGAATCTTGGTTTTGTTTTAATAGATTAAATTCCGACAGAAGATTCTCTAGTTTTGAACGGAGAAAAGAAACCATGCACAGTAAGACAAATGAATGTGGCACAGAATTCTGAATCTAGGTAATGGTTTCTATATGTAAGTTTTAAAAATAAGATTTTTATTTAAAGATGTTTATTATACTCACACAAGCAAAACAATAATTGACTATTCCCAATGGTACAGATTAGTAATACACCAGAATTTTGAAATTAAAAATCAGTGGAGACAAACCACACATTTCTGCTGGTCTCCTAATTTCTCTTAGATTGGTTTGAACAATTAGCAGACAATACTTGCCACCTGCCACCAACAATTTATAGCCTTTTTTTCTAGCCTAGGAAATGTATATTTTTCAAAAACTGCTTACTGTATTTTATCATAAAGACTGTTGTTCAAGTTGTCACTCAATTTAAATCAGTGATTTTAAACTTGGCAACATTAAAATGTATGGACTATGTAACTCACAGAATTCTCCATGCTGGCTGGGGGATTCGGGAATTGAAGTCCATACCTCTTAAAGTTGCCAAGTTTGGAAAAAATACTGACTTAAATAATCAGCTGAAATTCATTGTCAAATGTATTTATATTAACTGACAGGTGGGTTGCGTACTCAGAAAAACAATTTACTTTCTATTCAACCTCTAAGATCTAATAAGAAAGTTAAACAAAGTATCTGAGACTAAATTAAATATACAATCACATCAGCTAACTATAGAAACCTGAGACACTCTAGATCAGGGCTGTCAAACTCCCAGCCTGCAGGCCAGATGCATCCTGTGCTGGCCACACCCATGCCTGGTTTAGCGAAGGGGAAAAATTCTTGATACATCACGTGACAACACCGTAACAATGTGAGTTTGACACACCTGCTCTAGATTAAAACTGATTTTGAAGGGTGTATGTTTGTGAACAGGTAAAATTGCAGCACAGAAGATATGTGTTTTATTATTTATACTTGATATAAATGTACTACAGTTGGGTAATCTTTTGGGAATAAAATATGGGTTCTCTATAAGCACTGTCTAAAAAGATGAGGCAAAAGCTGAACAGAAAAGGCCAGAAAAGGATTTTTTTAAAAAGTGAATGCAAGACATCCTCTCTCAAGATAACCACTTTCATGATTTTCAGGCTTTCGTGGACAAGTTTAAGAGGACAATCTTCCATCTTAAAGAAATGAAGGAAAAAAAATACTTTAGTCTATAGAACAGAGAGACTTACTAAGAGCCATTTAATTTTAGCCTAAAAATAAAGCTGCTTCTTTAATATATCTTTAATTACAGCATAACAAGATATATGTTTTCCAATACATTATACTTCCCATTTCAAATGAAATGAAATGAAATGAAATGAAATGAAATGAACTTACTGGTTCACCTGAAGGCCCTCTATCTCCTATACTTCCAGGAAGGCCAGGCAAACCCTGAAAACAAAACCAAAAAGCTACTTAAATTTTTTCAAAACTTCATAAATTGACCAAAATGCAATTCATAAAACATCTTGTTGAGGTATTCCCTGTTAGGAGAATGAGTGCACTCAGGGAAATATAGTGAGAGTGGTGATGAATAACAAAAAACTAACACACAGATACACTGAATAGTAAAATGTAAGTTTTACTTCCTATAAACGGGTAAACAAAGTCCAACAAACAGTCCAAATAATACGTGGTTAAAGCAGTTAGTATTCAAAATAATCAGTCCAGGGATAATCCAAAAATGAAGTCCTTTTCTTTACCAGTATCATAAACAAAGTTCAATAAACGGAGTTTGCGAATAGTTGCAAGACTCACAGCAATTCAAGCAGAATGACGATCAGGCAAAAAGCAAAAGGAAAGCAAAGGAAATGCAAAGAACAAACCAGGTTTCTGGCTCCATCTGATGGCCGTTGGAGGAACCCCAGTCAATCACAATTACAACATTCTCTTAAAGATACAACAATATTAATGACTATCCTGGTTTATATATTGCCAACCCAACTGTTAGGTGACTATCATTCCTAACAATCTTCAATGACACTTAAGGCTTTTTTTTTTTAATCCAATAATTTTTTTTCTACCATATAAGGATTTGTGGCTGGTCACTGACTTGTGGCTGGTCAGGACTTGTGGCTGGTTAATGAATTAGAAAATTCTTTCTTTTGGTGAGTGGTATCCTAAATCGTCTTTGAAAAGTTAAGATATACAAACTAAAGATAAAATCTTCTATTTATCTGTGAAATAAACAGTGAATTCAATGACACATACTTTGTTGTAATTATATGAAGACATACTATAAATTATATGAAAAATGACAAATAACTGCTACAGTCTGAATGGCCTTCCAGTAGGATCATTTATAGATGGGTAACGAAAGAATAATTAATCTTTTTGAAGCTGACTTTTCATATAACAATTCAGAAAATATACCACTGACAACAAAAAAGGAACTTACTTTTAAAGCTTAGCAACATTAAGATGTGCTTTGAAAAAAAATCTATGTGTCCCATTTCTTGTATATGGCAGACATGCAAAATATTATTTTAGTGTCCTTCAAAACTGATTCATGTAAGATGTCCTATTGTTTAAGAGTTATAATACTATCCTCCAGAAGCATGGCTAGCTAGATTGTAGAGGAAATGAGTGTGTGTTTTAATTATGGTAGGAAACTATCTAATTATATATAAAGCATTCCCAGTAGAAGTGTTCTAATTCTGCAATGCTTTATTGCTGATGATCTGCTGATGTCTGCTTAATACATTTTGACACAAGGCAAAGATCTATTCATTCATTCAGGTATTTCAAATAAATCAGAACAGATTTTTTTCAATGCTGTCAATTTATTCAGTCTAGCACTTGATATTACTTCAACATGCTCATTTGCCACTGCTTTCTTCCTAGGGGTGAGAGAGAGTGATTGGCTCAAGTTCACTGAGCCAGTTCCCTATCTAAGGCAGGACTGGAACTCATAATCATCTGGTTTCTTGAGAGTTTCCGGTTTGTCGGCTTTGCGAGCGGTAGGGATTCGCGAAGCTGCGCGATCCCTGCCGCGCTAGCCGCTTTTGGGGCTCCGATCCGAAAGGGTGCGGAGCAAGGCTGCCCTGCAGGGGCAGCTGAAGGTAGGGGGGATCCGGAAAAGGGTTTGGGGGTATTGCAGACCCCCTCCCTGGCCAGCAGAACCTCCTTTTACCAAGACGGCGTAGCGGCGGTCTGTAATGGCCGCCACAAAGAAGCCGGCAGCTGGGCAAGTATGCGCAGGAGGAAGAGGAGAAAGTTTTTAAAAGTGAAAGTCTTCTTGGTCGATCCAGGACTCTGAGATATATTTAATTTAATTCCTGGAAGTGATGGTTTTTTGGATGATTCTTTCCATAAGAGAAAGTAAGCGGCAATTCTGAGGTGCTGAAAGGAAAGTTTACTCTCCCTCCCGACGGAATTAACAAACGGATATTGAGAAACCTGTTTTTTTTCAGGTAAAACTAGCTTTATGGGATAAGTCGGAAGGGAGAGGACAAAAAATATATTTATCTGGCTGGATTTTGTTGGAGGAGATGCCTTAAGGATTTGGAGACAGAATTTTTTTTTTAATAAGACTTCAAAACACAGATTTGGATTTTCTTTTTTCCTTTGTCTGATACTACCCCTGGAAGAGAAAGTAGGAATTTTGGCTTGGCTTGGATTGATTGAGGATTGTGGACTTTGGGATTGTCTTACTTTTCTTTTGGAATATTTTGGTTGGAGTAAGAAGAAAGAGGGAAAAAAGAAAAGAAAAGATTTATAATGGCTTTTTCCCTTGAGGAACTGAGGGATGAATATGAGCAAACAAAAGCAGCCTGTAAAGATGGTATGGAAAAAGCTTTTCTATTTTTAGAAATGGCGCTGGTTAACTATGAACAGACAATGCGACAGATGGAACTACAACAAGAAGAAGACGAAGACACCATCTTTAATGAATCCCAAAATTTACCTAAGGAAGAAGGAAGGAAGAAAGCGAGGAAAATGAAGGACTTAAGATCTAAAAAAACATTTAAGAAAGAGAAAAATATGATGCAAAATAAATATAATGATAGCAAACAAGAGAAAAAGGGAATACAACAGAGAAGGGATGCCAGCAAGACAGAGGTTAGAAGAAGGGGGGGTAGGAAGATCGGGTGGGGGAAGAAAGAAAGGGGAAAGGCGGAGAAAAGCCACAAAGTTTTAAAATTGGATGGGAAAAGAGGAATCTTTTTCAGGGATAAAGGGTAAAGTATAAATTTTCTTAAAAAAGATTTTGCAAGGTACATAAGACGGTATTGTAATATTTGTATTAGAAATAGAAAATTAGAATGGTTTAAGAGTTAATAAGAAGTTAAAATGTTGAAATGTTTAATAATGATTGATTTTTAAAATGTAATAAAATATTGAAGGGAAAGGCAATGAGAATGTTATAAGATTTATTATTTAGATTTATTATTTAACTACGTGTTTAGGAGGATACTATGTATTTAAACATTTCCGATTTATTACTCTGTTTTTATTGTTATTAAAAGTAAAAATTAATAGATAGAATGTACCAAGCAGAATCAGATTGGATATTAGGTGTCATTTTAAATGTTAATCTAATATTCAGGGAGAGGATAGAAAGGCATCATACTCTGATTAGAGATTTCAGGATAAATTCTTTTTTTTTTTTCTTCAGTATAAGGAATGAGATAGAGTGATAATAAAGGATGGGCAAAAGATACAAATATAATTATTTAAATTAAGATGGATTGAATAAGATAGAATTATGAAGAGTGAAATGTGTGGAGAAGTATATATAGAAGATACAGAATGGTAAATAAAATAGGTAATGATCTGTAAGATGAGCATGAATATAATTAAAGCCCATATAAAGAGAGGTACCGGGGGCCAAGTTACTTTACTAAAAGATTTTTTATATGTTTGTTTGTGTCTGTTTATGTTTTTGAGAAGTATTGGTGAAACCTTTTAGAAGCATAGAAAGAAAATGACGATAATCAAGTCAGAAAGAAATAGAGGACAAGAGATGTTTTTATGTTCATTTAGAAATGGTTTAAAATAGAATTGTATTGTATAAGATAAGGTTTTATCTGACTTGTAAAATTTATAATGGAAAAAGGTTCAAATATGTAATGGTTGATGATGATTTGTTTGTTTTTGAAATTAATAAAACTTGTTTTAAAAAAAAATAAATCATCTGGTTTCTTGCCTGATGTCTTAATTATTACCACATCAACCTGACTCTATACTAAATCTGAGTATAAGGAGGGCTATACTTTGAAATATATACAATACTTTGTTCTTGGCTTACAAATGCTGCCTTGTTTGTATATACAGTAGATTGAAATAAATTTTGCACAAAATTCTATGGAAATAGAACTAAAAAATCCCTCCTTACTGCCATAGTTTGAACTGTAGGATGGTAACGTATCCACAATTCACTAAAACTTTCAAGAGTTCCTCTAGCATATGCATATGTCTGTACAAAAAAATAGCTAACAAAACTATACTATCTTTTTCCAAGTTCTTGTTGCTGCTTCAAAGCCCTGATTCTATCTGCTCCCACATGCTCTCACACCTTACTATATGTTCTGAAGGCCATCTTTCAAAAAATATGCACAACTCACTATTGTTACTTTTTCTCTGGTAAAGGAAAAACGATATTTGTCTCTCATCCAGTTGCTGTACAAATAAGAGGACAGCACAGATCAGTTTCAGATGTATGTTCAGGACGTGTATCAAATATTGAAGTGTATTTAATGTTTACTTTAGTATCATTTAGAGATATTGTATATCTCTTTTTGCTTTAAAAATATAGGTATAACTTGGGTCGCTTATGAAAGAATGCTTGCTGTATAACACTGAAAATTTTAGTTTAATCATTTAATCTACACTGTTATTGACTGATTTGTCTTTGCATTTTTTATTTCCTACAAATAAAAGAATATGAAATAAAAAATTGTCGCACTACAGGACATTTATCATCTCTTCAACCAAAGGAAGAAGTTCAACAAGCTTTCTGTTCTCTAATATAGATATTAAACCATTATTGTCCTTGCATTTAAGAACTATTCTGGATAACTTACTCTCAGTGTATAGGAGCTACAGCAATCTGATAAATTATATTACATAAGTGCCTTCATATATTATTGATAACAATAATGTCTGCCATCATTACTAATGTCATTCATTATAGATTTTAAAACTTAGATAGGAAATGTGACTTTAGGCTGCAGTGTTTCCCAGTCTTTGCCAAAGCTTGACCAATCACCCATCAATGGGAGAAAAGACACTGCAATTATTATATCAAAATTAAATTTTGATTTGGGTGCTACATGTAGATACTTTAAGCACCTCCTCTGTAATATCTTAAAGCTGTTATTTTCAAAGATCAGGAAAATGATTCCAATTGGACTTTGGGGCTATGGGAAAGGAACAAGTGTTATGCTCATTCTTCTCCCCAGTTTTCCATTCATTTTAAAGTAAAGGAGAAATATGAATTGCTGCATCAAAAAAAATCCTGTAATACTTGACAGGAGAGAATTGACCTCCAAGCCATGCCCAACCAGTCATATGACCACCCCAGTCACATGGCCACCAAGCCACGCCCACCCAGTCATCTGACCATAAGACACATCCACCAAATAAACCATGCCCACCGAACTTGACAGGAGAGAATTCCTACACTTTTTTAGGTATTTTTAAAAATTTTATTAGAAACATCAAATTTTTAATTTACTTACACTAGCAGTATAAAAGTGTAACACAATGGCTGTGTTTATATGGTCCATCTGGCCAGGAAAATTTTTAGCCCCAAACAATTATGGTTATTTGGGTGAGAACTAGACTAGCTTCTAACAGAGGTACTCTTCATTTAGTGACCACAATTGGAACTGGCAACTTGGTCATTAAACAAAGTGGTTGCTTTGAAATGAAATTGTGACTGTGCTCATGATCTCACTTCAACTTTCATTGCTTTATAGACCTGCAAAAGTTGTAAATGCAAAGGTTGGTTGCAAAGTTACTTTTTCATCACCATCACAACTGCAAATGTTTCTAAATAAAGTAGTGATTAAACAAGACTTACTTGTATTTGTAGCAGTGGTGGGATTCAAATTTTTTTACTACCGGTTCGGTGGGCATGGCTTATTTGGTGGGCGTGGCTTAGGGTCAGATGACTGGGTGGGCGTGGCTTGGTGGCCATGTGACTGGGGTGGTCATATGACTGGTTGGGCATGGCTTGGAGGTCATGTGACTAGGTGGGTGTGGCCAACTCAATGTCACTCACATCAAGGGGTGCCTCGCCTGGCCCCTCCCCTCCCAGTCATTCCTTGTCACACCCAGCCTCAACATATCTATAGTTCTGTAAAAATGTTGTTCACCTTTTGTTGACTTTATTATCTACGTACTATAGATGTACTTTCATGGACCACTGAAAGGAGGAAATGGCTCACATGCTTTGCCCAAGAGGGTGATAGGCAACAGGCTTTTAGGGAGCTGCCAGAAAGACGGGGGGTGCAATGTATTTTCCAAAGCACCAGAAGGATGGAAACTGAACACAGAGAGAAGCAACCTAAAAGTAAGGAGAAACTTCCTGACAATGAGAACAATTAACCAGTGGAATTGCTTGCCACTAGAAGTTCTGGGTACTCCAACACTGGAAGTTTTTAACAAAAGACTGGACGGCCATTTCTCTGAAATGGTGTAGAGTCCCCCCCCCCAGGTCCCTTCTAAGTGCTATTCTGTTATTCTGACACCTTTCCCAGGACCTCTACTCAGAATTTGGCACCCTCAGTTTTCCTGCCTGAACACGGGGTTAGCCTAGAATACCTCCAAGGTCCCTTTCAACTCTGTTAAACACACATGTATTTATGCTCTGAACTATAGACATGTAAATCCTGAAAAATACCTGGGCAAAAGAAAGGCAATCAAATCACTCTAGGTGTAGGGACAGTGTAAAATATTAATATATATTAATATATAATGGAATAATTAAAAATAATAGCACTGAGTTTTCTCTCTCTCCCTCTTCCTTTTTTCTTTCTCTCTTTCTCCCCCTTCCTCTTTCTTTCTGTCTTTCTCTCCCTTCCTTCCTTCCTTTCTTTCTTTTTCTCTTTCTTTCTCTCCCTTCCTCTTTCTTTCTTTCTTCCTATTTTTCTTTCTTTCTCTTTCTTTATTCCTCTTTATTTCTTTCTCTCCCTTCCTCTTTCTTTCCTGCTCTTTCTTCCTTTCTTGTTCTTTCCTTCTTGCCCTTCCTCCCTCCCTTCCTTCCTTCCTTTTCTTCCTTGATTCACACACACACACCTTTTCTGGAAAGAACTTATTGGGCAATCTCCAGAGCAGTGAGCGGTGGGACAATGAAGAAAGCAGCAGCCCCAGAACATCCATCCACCCTCCCTTTCGAAGCACATGGGCTGAGGGGATGGCGGCAGGCAGGGGCGCCCCAAAAGGCAGGGAAAAAGCAAAGGGAAAGGTTTTCCATTTGCATTCTCTGCTGCGCTGGGGATGGGGCTGAGGGGGCGGCGGCGGTGCCCCGAAAGGCAGGGAGAAAGCAAACAGAAAGGTTTTCCGTTCGCTTTCTCTGCTGCGCTGGGGCTGGGGCTGGGGCTGAGATGGCCGGGTGGGGGTGCCCTGAAAGGGAGGCCAGGAATCCTGGGGCTGCTTCCCATAGCCGCAATGTGGCTGCCGCTGTCCCACCCTCTGGACTGGCCCGAAAAAGACATCCCACCTTGGCCTCCTCCCGCCCAGAAAGGCCCCGTGCAGTGGGGGGAGGCCCGGAAAGGCCCTGGGGGGTGGGCGAGGGCCTAGCGCAATGCAGGCTTACCTGTGAGTGGGGCAGGCAGATCAGGGCTGTTCAGTTGGGATGCAGCTACCACGTGAGGAAGTCAGGTTAGGCAAGCCACGAAGGGCCCAGCGTGCCACATAGGAAGGGAGGAGTGACTGGGCGGAGCAAGCGGCGGCCAGGCAAGCCGCGTGAGCAAGCATCAGGTGAGTGGGGCAACTGAGCGACCAGGGACCGGGGAACCGGTTCGGGGGTGTGGCCAGCCAGAAGTCTCTACCAGTTCCATGACCCACACCAAATTCTTACTACCAGGTCGCCAGAACCGTTGCGAACTGGCTGGATACCACCTCTGATTTGTAGGATACTTTAAACCCCAACTCATGTTAGGTGACCTCAACTACTATAAACTCAATGTATTATGTTAGAAGCAGAATGGAATTATAAAAAAATGAATCTTCTACCAAAGCATGAAGAACTTACTGGTGGTCCTGGACTGCCTCTTTCTCCAGGGATTCCAGCTTTTCCCTGTGCAAACGCAAAGAAGGTAACGTGTCAACTCTATTTCAAAAATATTATCAGAATTGATGCCTTAAATATGAATGCTAAAAAAAATACAACGTACAATGAGTCCATGAATGCCTTTTTTCCCAGAGTCACCAACTTCTCCCTAGGAAAAAGAAACAATAAAGCTATTTTAATATACACTGTATTCAAACATATGACATTTTTTCTTCTAAATTCCAAATTAGGGATGTTCTTTTCAGTGCAAATTATTGGAAAATCTGTCATCAACCATAAGCACAAATGCAGGTACTATTTATTTCTTTATTACTACTTTTTATACCACTTCCTAGAAAAAAGATGTCAAAACAACTCGCTAAAAATAAACTATCACTTGGTCAAAATTACAGTGAAATCAGCCTATATCTTAGTCTGGTTGACGCAAGGTAGACACTATAAGACATCAAGGAGGAAATGGTATAATATATAACACAGAGACAAAAAGTCAAGTTCCCAATAACAGAGAGGTTATATGGTACTGTACTTCATGCATCTAACAGCATCATGGGTCATTTTCTGGGGCAAAGATAAGAAAGTTAAGTTTACCTTAATACCTTCTGTCCCTTGCTCTCCAAGAGGACCATCTTGACCTCGTGGTCCCTGACAAATTAAAGAAAAAACAGCTAGGAATGATGCAAGTGTTCATGTGTCTAAGGATTAATGCGGTTATTAATCTAAGGATTAATAAGACAAAATTATAGCACAAAATCTGCAACTGCTGCCATGGTAATTCACAGAATTTAATTGGATCCAAATGAGGACATTTTGTAAAAAACTTTTTCCTATCACTTACCACATTTTCCCCTCACATGCATTCAAGAATCCATTGGGGATTGTAAGAGATAATAAATATCCACAATCACCACCTTTCAATCAAAGCATATGATAAATCTATCTCTTTGCAATTTTTGCCAACCCCTACTATTTTCCTTTTTTTCTTGTCCATTACTTTTCTATTTGACCCATGGACATAATCACCTTGCTAGAAATTGCTAGACTGCAATTCACTTCTACAAGTTCACAATTAATTCTTCAAACTATTTCTCAAAATCTTTTGTTTTTCCAACAAGTACACTCCAATGAGATTGATTTTCCACAGTGTTAGCTACCTTAACTCTGTAAGGGAATTGGGATTTGTCATACACAAATGATCAATTTGGAAGTGAAATTATTCTCACTTCTGAGTGAGGAAATGGCAAACTAGATGACTTCACAGGATGGGAATCAAAATGTGGCCAGGACTGACAGACCAAGTGACAAACACAGTCTAACAGAACCTCTCCAGATAAAGGAGAAGATGAGGGATTGCCCAATTGTGCTCAGGACAGCAACTCCTTGCAAGGAGACCATAGCACAGTGGTTTCCCATGGGTTTCAGCACTAGAAGATGAAGGAAATTATTAAACTCTCAACCACACTTTAAAGAAAACTAGATTAGTTAACCCTAATATATTTCAAAAATCTTTGAAATGTATTTAAAGTTGAAAGAGAAATTCAAAGCAACAAGTATGAAAAACCATCTGGTGAGTTAATCCTTGTTCCAATACAAATAGCTTAAAGAATTTAAAGAAATTGAAATAAATGGCAAAAAATATAGTAAGTATAGTAACTTTCTTAATTTAAGAAAGTTGCAAATGAATTCAGGGACCAGATAATTTTGGAATATTAGGACTTTGCTAAAAGGTTTGGGAAATAATAAAACAGTATTTTTGTGGAATATAAATTGCTTAGTCTGTTGGAAAATAAATTATAAAACCTGGAGTTTTTGCAATTTTAGAAATAAAGTACTACAGGAGAATAACAATTAAAAGCAGGAGAAAGAAAGAAGGGGGGAAAAAAGAGACAAGCCTGTTTTTTGTGGTTCCTATAAAATGACAGAAAATGCTATAACATCTAGACCAGGGCTGTCAAACTCCCGACCCGTAGGCCAGATGTGTAATGCCTTGACCATACCCAGTTTAGTGAAGGGGAAAAAAGTCCCGATATGTCATGTGACGCAGCTGGGCCACGTGAGTTTGACACCCCTGATCTAGACATTTCAGGAGATTTTTGAAGAATGGGTCAGAAACTAATAGCTACAATGCTAGTAACAATGCTTGCTGATATGGATGGAATATTTACAAAATATTTTTTAAAAGAAATGAAAGATATGAAAGATAGTATTTTGGAAGACTGATAGGGTGAATGTGATAAATGACAACCACCTGATGCAGAAATACTAGAAAAGAAAGTCTGGATTGTAAGACATATATGATGGTCAAAATGGAAATATAAATAATAAGCCAAGATATCTGGATAAGTTTACTGGATTTAAAAATGAGGGATGTTAAAAACTTGAAAAAAAGCATTGAAACAGGAGAAAGAAAAATTGAAGGGAGATCAAATTCCATGAGAGCATCTCAATGAATTAAGGACCAAGATTATTAGAAGTATAAAAAAGGAATACAAAGTTGATTGATTTGATCAGGATTAAAATGGGATATATCTTTATAAAATTCTGTGATTCCCCCTTATGGTCTTTTTGCCGACATCTGGATAGGAAGGTTAATTATTCATGGATTTGACTGGATAAGAGATAGATTTTGGAAAGATGTGAACTGTGTATGAATTGTTTACGGAGTGGAAAAATGATAGGTTTGTTTATACTTGTTGCGATGAAGATCAGAAGTCACTTATTTAAACATTGTTTTTCTCCCCTTTTCCTTTTTTCCTTTCTTTCCTTTGCACTTTTTTCTATCTATCTATCTATCTATCTATCTATCTATCTATCTATCTATCTATCTATCTATCTATCTATCTATCTATC